TCTTGCCCCTATTTGATGTTTGGGGTTGCTAGGTGTCATGGTCGGGTCGTTGTAGCTGTCGTTGTGATGGTGATGATGTCAGTTTTTTTTTCGCACACAAAAGTGCATTGAAGCACTTTTGACGAAGGATATCTTCCGTCACAGCGATTTTCATCCAGTGACCCCATAGAAAACATGAAAGACTGAATACCAAGGAATACGCTCTTAAAGCAGGAGGTTTGTTAAACATGTTCACGGTAGTTAGGTAGGACTGTCAAAAGCTGCCTCATATGAGGCATATGCCTCATATGAGGCGCACGGTAGAATAGACACTAGAAGAAGAGATAGGAATGGGTCACAACAAAAAATAGTCTCTCAGAAAGCCACAGAAAGGAGTGACGTGAGAGTTAAACCTAAAGCTATGTCTGTACCTCCAAAGGATCTAATCTAGTTCCAAGGTCACTCTAAGGTCATTACACTCTTCCCTTCTATAATCAGAGCCAGTCGATTGATCATACATTAAAAGTCACAAGGCCTCCTTACATCCACTTTATTCTCCATTCAACTTCAGAGGTGGTTCTTGACGCAATGGGCGATGCAAGCATATCGTCCATTAGACTCGACGGAACGGCACAAGCCGTCTGATGTTGATCCTCTCACGGATCGCATCAGTGCGCAATTCTGTAATCAAATTCTTTTCGCTTTGCGTTCTGTCTCCTCAAGTTTTCATTGATCTTGTACTGTCTCTTTTGCCTTATTTGGACTCTTCCCTTCAGACGGCTTCTCCATTCGCGGAAGACTTGACAGTCTTTTTCAGCTGTCTGAGATCGCTTATCGCACCCTACCGTCCTTCTTTGGAATGATGAATGTTGGCAACGCCCATTCTTGCGCCTCCTGTTCTTCAGGATAATATTTTTCCTGTTCAAAGTTGAATTGATCGTTCCATTGTTGATTTTCTTCAGCTTGATAATTGTGTTCTTGATGCTGGTACTGCTCGGCACTTGGCATTCCACCATAAGACATTCCGTCTTGGTTCCATTCAGGAACGCTGCCTTCCGCAGCAAAGCTTTCAGCTTCTTGATTGTAGTGCGACTCAGCATAGTAGTTTTGACTGTGTTGTTGCGTGGTGTGAAACTGGTTGAAAATCTGAAAGAATCGAGGTTTTTCGATCAAATCAAACGGCGATTGCTTGTGTGTGTGAGTTTACTCTTGTAGTCTTTAATCTAAGCCTTATGGCTATTCGAATAGTGAACCAGCCTAGAAGAAGAGATAGGAATGGGTCAAAATTATAGAGTCTCTCAGAAAGCCACAGAAAGGAGTGATGTGAGAGTTAGGCCTAAAGCTATGTATGTACCTCCAAAGGACCTAATCTAGTTCCAAGGTCACTCCAAGGTCATTACATTTACATGGAGGTTATACTCATTCCACGATTAAAGAGTACGTAATTTAGTTAGTAGTGTAGTGACCTGAGAAGACGAAACACATGGCATCCTGAATGAATCAAGCAACACAGAAATCAAATGACTTCTCTTCCGATAGAGCTCCATTGAGCAAATCCACTTTGTTGTCACTCCAAGACAACAACTCATTAATTTGCTATAACGCCCTTTGTCCTCATCACTGTTCATCTTTTGACGTTGTCATGTTGGTGCTATTGCCATAATGCTGTTTATGTTCTGATGATGGTACACCATACAGCTGTTGTCGATGAGCAATAAAATACGAATAATGACTGCGGCTCTACGCTAGTAACACACTGCCTCGAACTCTTATCAAAATGATTTTAGAACTGTATTATCACCCTCGTTATGCAGTTGGGCAATCAAAGCCAAGGTTATTCGAATCTGAATCTTCATAAGGTGCTTGGTTGATTTCTGGCCTTTTTAATGTTGCCGCTGAGGTCATTAAGGTGCTTGATTTGCTTCTTTTCAATGCTGCCATCCATGGATGCGGAATCATTGTTGTTGCCGCTGAGGTCATCCTTTGCTTTTTGCACACCCGAATTGACCATACCACCAAGTTTTGATCCAGCTTCCTTGGCCAAATTAGGTAGTGCATCGCCAGCCTTTTCCGCATTGCTTTTGGCTGCTTCCTTCTGTTCCTTAGTGGTTTCATTGACCTTCTCATGAACATTGTCCAATTGTGTCTTGGCACTGTTGATGATTACCAGGGGTTTTGCTGACATTGGGAACCATGATTTCTTTTGATTTCGAGTTCTCTTTTTATTAATACTGTAATTGATGAAAGTTCCGATAGTAATCTATTCATGCCATGCTCTTCTCTTGCATCTGCTCGATTGGCAGACAAACACTGACGACATTAAGATAACGGGACCACATGGAGATTCCCAAATTAATTGCGTTGGATATTGGTACCGCTGGTACTGTATTGTCCGCTGGTCGATATGGGTTGAATATTGGCCATGAAGCAAGAGCGAGAGGGACGTAACTCTCATTGCTTTCTCTACTTGAGTGGTGTTCAAGCTATGATACGCAACAACACGAGGAAAAGTGCACTGGTTATTGGTTTCAGGCTTCAGAAAGTACATTTGAAGTTATCGTAACTATTCGCTTGGCTCTTGCTTTTTTTGCATTCAATTCCTACTCTCCGATCATGACTGACTACTTTGCTGGATAAAAGTCTGCTCGCACGGCGCCTCCCCTATTGACATTTCGCCATGCAGACACACCAGATCCATCAATTTGGGCACCGCCAACATCCAACCCATCAGAAGACACGTAATCCGCTCCACCAAGTGATGTTCTTGACTTGAAACACAGCTATAGATTAATTTCTATCGTTTCAGTGTCACATATGGTAGCATGCCCCTGTAAGAAACTGATAACAACTGCCATGGTTGCTAGTAGTAGGTGTCACTTCACCTTTGGAATCTAAGCATTGTCTCAATTCCGTGCACCAAGGCCTTGTTGATTGTTTTCTCGTCAGAATAAACCCATCCCCTGTGACCATACGGTAGTAAACTGTCGTAGCGCGGCCTTATATGGTGGCAACTTGCGGCCATCAAGGAACCCAGCAAGAGTGTGCCTCTGTTTTTGCCTTTGCATCTTACTCAAAAAACGGTTGATTATTGCATTTCTTCAATCATGTAATACCCATGTAGTCTCTTTGGCGGCGAGCTTGAGCCTGGATTTGGTCCTTCCTCACCTTACTTGATTCCCAAAATATTGAGTCCATTGACGACGCAAAATCTGACTACCATCATCAGTGACGTCAACTTCTACGCTGAATATCTTGAAATGTTGGTGACCTCAAATTCAGAGTGCGATAAATCTCCGATTTCTGATTGGATCTGCGATATGAAGGCACAGATGATGTTATTAGAGGTGCTCGAACGTCATTTCAAAAGTTTCAGAGGCATCGGTCGACATACGTCAAACAATCATTGTTACCTTGTTCAAAATCCGTCAAAATCCTGGCTAGAGCCAGGATCATAGAGTATATATTCTTGCGACGGTATGCATGAGGCCAGTGCTGTGTTGGAAAGACACTTTATTGCAATCCTGTTGCTTTCTCCTCTTTTCTTTTCGTTTTCGTTTTCGTTTTCTTTCCTTTTTCTTCCTTTTCCCCCTTCTTTTTCCCCGGGGGATCTAGTATAAATAGTTGCACCGCAGCATACAGTGTAGTACAAAAGCCCCAGCTACACACCAAGTACGAACACACACACGGAGGGCTATCTTAGATAGTTAAAAAAATACTCATTTCGCTTTCGCGAGTCACACGAGAAGGGCGAATGGATCATCAATCACTCGATAATCTACTGTATTATTAATATTTATTTGATGCGAACATATCTCACAATTCCAAATCACTGGATATATTAACAAACACTACAATAAAGTTGAAACATTATCATGGCTCCTAACGATAAAACCCCTGGAAGTATGCTTGATAATGCTATCGACAATGCCAAGGCAGGAATTGAAAAAGCACGAGAGAATGTCAACGAATCCACCAAGACTGAAGAACAGAAGGAAGCCGAAAAAAGCACCAGTGAAAAGATTGGTGACACCATCGACAGCGTGCGCGAGAAAATCAATGAAGCCACCAAGTCCGAGGAGCAGAAGGAAGCAGAGAAACCTACCAGTGAAAAGATTAGTGATGCGATCCCCCACTCTGCGACTGAAGCCGGGTCAAAACTTGGTGGTTTGATTGATTCGGGAGTGGAAAAAGCCAAAGATGCCATCAGCGGCGACAGTGAAAAGAAGTAGACGAAGCAGCCGACGAGCATTCAGATTCGGACAATGTTCGACGTGTAACTTCATAAAATATCACTTTTTCTAGAATCATTTATTGGAGTACTTTGCACTTTTTTACTGCCGTAGTCGATCCGCACTGATGCTTTTTTAAAGCTGGTATATGTAGGAGATTGATTCAACACATCCTTATCAAGAACAACGATAATATGACAGCATAAGGAGTAATGCGATCACAACGATATTCACCAGCTGCGACGGTTTTAAGAGAAGTAAATTGTCAGACGGACAGAGATTCAAAATAAAAGTAACACTTTTCTAAGGTCTTTTATCAGATTACGATTCACTGCTTTACTGCTAGTGTACAAGATCTACAAGCGACTGGTAAACAACTCGTCTATTTAGGAGAACAACTCATGCGCCCTCTCATCACATAGTACAGTGTCCAATGGTACAGCAAAATAGTAAATTATGAGCATCCACAAGTGACGCCGTGGCAAATAGACGACTGACTATATGGAGGCGTAAAGAACAAGTGCATTTGCTGGGCAGCTCAAAGTCCCATGCTGATTTGTTTATATTTAAGACGACCTGGGGCTTCATCTGGTGCAATCAAGCGTACCCTTTCACTCATATTCAATAGATTTCAATCAATTCGTGAACTAGAGTCCCGCTTGAGCTTCGTGATGGAGATGCAAGTCAGTCTTGAGTCAGTCCCGCTTGAGCTTCGTGTCTGAGATTTTGTTCTGACACGAAGAACACGGCGTATGAACGAATCTTTCAATCATATCCTTGCCTCTCACAATTCCAAACACTACAGTAACCAGAAACAATCGCTTACACATCACAAAACAAAACAAAATGAAGATCTTTTGCGTTATTGCTACTTCAATTTTCATTTTCGCTCGTTCCAGCGAAGGGTTTACAGTCTTAAGTGATCAATTGTCCAAGCCATCATCATCACAACTGTACGATAAAACCAAGGATGATAAGACCCCTGGAGAAAAGCTCGATGATACAATTGACAATGTCAACGAAAAGGTACCCGAATCTGCAGAGGAAGCTGGATCGCAGGTTGGCAGTGCGATCGATTCGGGTGTGCAAAACGTTAAGGATGCCGCCAAGACTGAGGAGGAGAAGGAAGCAGAGAAGAGCACCACTGAAAAGATAGCTGATTCTGCGAAGAAGGCCAAATCGAAAGCTGCCGACACGGCCAAGTCGGGTGTAGAAAAAGTAAAGGACACGGTCAGTTCCGGTGCAGAAAAAGTAAAGGACACGGTCAGTTCCGGTGCAGAAAAAGTAAAGGACACTGTCAGCAGCGACGATTAAAAGAAGTCAAATCAAGCATTGGACGAACAATCAGGTTCAAACAATCTTTAATTGATGTAAGAGCGTAGAGTAACACTTTTCTGTAGATATCTATCATCAGAGTACTATGCATTGTTTTACGGAATAGCGCAAGTGATACTGAAAGCTGGTAAGCTCAGTGGGAAATTCATACAACAACTTAGCTTCTCCTCATCAACACTGCAGCAGTGTCAAATAATTTATCTTGAGCATCCTGAAGTAGGGCATGCTGACAAGGGATTGCAATGGCAAAACTGACGGCTTAAGTTTGTAGTTCTGATGGGTGGACCGGCTGGGTGAGCAGATTGCTATCGATCGGATGAGAAATCTATATACAGACTTTTTTCATGAGGCCTTGATTTCTTGGAATCACTTTCGATTGATCTTCATTCGAGTCGTACGTTTTTCATCCAAGACTTACCTTCGATATACAGTATATATTATATTTTATACATCTACTTATTACGCTCGCGTCTGAGATCTCAGAAGAAGCGAAATCCGAACTTTTTTATAGTGCAAACATCTCTTTCACAATTCCAAAATAATATATCCGCAGTGAGAACTCGAAATCAAAAGAAATCATGGCTCCCAATGACAACAAAACCCCTGGTAATAAGCTCGATGATGCCATCGACAGTGCCAAGACACAATTGGACAATGTTCATGAGAAGGTCAATGAAACCACTAAGGAACAGAAGGAAGCAGCCAAAAGCAATGCGGAAAAGGCTGGCGATGCACTACCTAATTCGGCCGAGGAAGCTGGATCAAAACTTGGTGGTATGGTCGATTCGGGTGTGCAAAAAGCAAAGAATGCCCTCAGCGGCAACAATGAAAAGAAGTAAATCAAGCACCTTATGAAGATTCAGATTCGAATAACCTTGGCTTTGATTGCCCAACTGCATAACGAGGGTGATAATACATTTCTAAAATCATTTTGATACGAGTTCGAGGCAGTGTTTTACTAGTGAAGAGCCGCAGTCACTTTTCGTATTTTTATTGCTCATCGACAACAGCTGTACTGAGCAACAGCTGTATGGTGTACCATCATCAGAACATAAACAGCATTATGGCAGAGCACCAACACGGCATCGTCAAAAGATGAACAGTGACGACAAAGGGCGTCATGGCAAATTAATGAGTTGTTGTCTTGGAGTGACAACGAAGTGGATTTGCTCAATGAAGCTCTAACGGAAGAGAAGTCGATTGATTTCTGTGTTGCTTGATTCATTCAGGATACCATGTGTTTCGTCTTCTCAGGTCACTACACTACTAACTAAATTACGTACTCTTTAATCATGGAATGAGTAACCTCTTGTTCCGCCTTCGACCTACGTCCTTATTCCGCTTTTGACCTATGTACTGTATTTATTCCGCTTTCGACCTATGTACTGTGCTTATTCCGCTTTTGACGAATGTAATGTACTTACTTATTCCGCTTTCGACCGATGTACTTTTTTCGCTTTCGACCTATGTACTTATTTCGCTTTCGACCATGTACTTATTCCGCTTTCGACTTATGTACTTATTTCGCTTTCGACCTACGTCCTTATTCCAATTTCGACCTATGTACTTATTTCGCTTTCGACCTATGTCCTTACTCCGCTTTTCGACCTACGAGTATGTACTTATTCCACTTTCGACCTATTTCATTATAATATATATTACTTATTCCGCTTTCGCGTCTGTGAATTACAGTAGTTCGACAAGAAGAAAGGCGCGTGAATCGATCATCATCTACCGGTATTTCAATATCTTGCATTGTACAATATATTATATCTCACAATTCCAAATCACTGGATTAAAAAACGCTACAGTAAATTCGAAACGAAACGAAATCATGGCTCCTAACGATAAAACTCAAGAAACCACCACTGACAGGATTACTAACAAGATGACAGAAGTGGGCGAGAAGGTCAAGGAAGCAACAAAGTCTAAGGACGAGAAGGAAGCAGAGAAGGAAGCAGAGAAAACCGCCACTGATAAGATTGGTGACAAGATGACAGAAGTGGGCGAGAAGGTCAAGGAAGCCACAAAGTCTAAGGAAGAGAAGGAAGCCGAGAAGGAAGCCAAGAAGAGCACCACTGAAAAGATTGGTGAGTCTGCGAAGGAAGCCGGATCAAAACTTCGCGGTACGATCGATTCAGGTGTGCAAAAGGTCAAGGATACCGTTAGCAGCCCTAAGGATGGCGAAAAGAAGTAAATCAGACATCTGATATACCTACATTCAGTTCCGAACAATCTCTGATTCTGGTTTAACAACATAGTGTAACACATTTCTAAAATCATTCATCAGGGTATCATGCAGTTTTTACTAGATTATTACGGCCACGGCCACAGCGATGCTACAGCTGGTGTAGGTATGGTATATTTCTTAGATTTGATTTGTGATATGGGCATCTACCATAAGCCTAGCCGCCAGTATGACAAATTGATGAGTTCTGGTATGGGCGCAATGGCTGACTAGTTCGCTGATTTGCTGCACTGATCCCTCCGGACGAAAATGGTACGATTGATTTTTATTCAAGAACGCCACACAGTAGGGTCGTCTTATCTGCATTCGATCATTTGAACTATTGACTGAAGCAAAATATCAAAAAGCAGCGGATACTTTTTCAGTCGTGAGTCAGTCTAATACTCTACAAGTCCCGCTTTGAGCTTCGTGTCTGAGACTGCGTGTTCTGAGAAGAAGAATACTCTGTAGCTGGGGCGTATGAATCGATCAATCATCCTTGTCTCTAGAACTGCAATATATCTCACAATTCCAAATCGTTGGACATTACAAGACACTATAGTAATCAAAAACCAATCCATTTCTTACACATCACAACGCAAAACAAAATCACAATGAATCTCTTTTATGTTTTCGCCATTTCAATTTTCCTTTTTGATCGCTTGGGCGAAGGAATCGAAATCATGAATTCTAATGATGAAACTCCTGGAAGTATGCTCGATGATGCTATTGACAATGCCAAGACAGGAATGAACGATGCGCGCGAGAAGGTCGCCGGCGCCGTTGAGGATATGAAGGAAGCAGTCCACAGCAAAAAGGAAAAGATGGGCGACAGTGCCGAGGACATGAAGGAAGCAGTCTACAGCAATACTGAAAAGATGGCTGACAACGCCAAGACAGGAATGAACAATGCGCGCGAGAAGGTCACCGACGCCGCTGAGGATATGAAGGAAGCAGTCTACAGTAAGACCGAAAAGATGGGTGACAGTGCCAAGACAAGAATGAATAATGTACGCGAGAAGGCCACCGACGCCACTGAAGATGTGAAGGAAGCAGTCTACAGCAACACTGAAAAGATGGTTGACTCGTTACCCAAGTCTGCTGAGGAAGCGGGATCGCAAGTTGGTGATGCGATCGATTCGGGTGTACAATACGTTAAGGATTCCACCAAGGACGAGAGCACCCCTCCTGCAACCATTAGTGAATCAGCGAAGGAAGTCGCATCAAAAGTTGGCGGCATGATCAATTCGGGTGTGAAAAAGGTCAAGGATACCTTCAGCAGCAGCAGCAGCGATGAAAAGAATTAAATCAAGCATCTGACAAAAATTCAGATTCCAATAATCTAATTTAGATAGAATTTCTCCAATCAATTTCTGAGTGCGATGCAGTGTTTTACTAGAGCGTACAGAAACCGCAGCAGTGATACTAAAAGCTGGTGCTTTTTATCGAGGAAATCGATTTCTGCCTCTTCGCGAACACTACAGCAGTATACCATCAGCATCGTAAAATAGCTGCTACTGACAAGTGGTACCTACGGCAAACTGAATTTGCTGAACAGAATATCGCTGTCAACAATCGTTGAAAGTGTTTTATATTCTCCGATCAAGTCGTGAGTCAAGTTGAGTCCTGATTGAGCTTCGTGTCTGAGAATTCGTTCTGACACGAAGGATACCGGTATATAAAGGCGCAAAACGCATGGTTGTGATCTATTCCTGTCAAATGTACCTCACAATTCCAAAACATTGGACAATAAAACACTACCACAGTCAAGCACATAGAAAACGAAAACGAAATCATGGCTCCTAACGACAAAAACGAGAAAACCCCAGGAAGTATTGTTGATACTGCAATCGACAGTGCCAAGGGAGGAATGGACACTGCACGCGCAAAGATCCACGAAGCCACCAAGACTGAGGAACAGAAGGAAGCCGAGAAAAGCATCACGGACAAGGTTGGCGAGGCACTACCTGACTCGGCAGAAGAAGCCGGATCAAAACTTGGCAGTGCGATCGATTCGGGTGTGCAACAAGCGAAGGATGCCTTTGATATTGAGAAGAAGTAGATTAGCTACCAAGCATGATCTGACGGACATTTAGATTCAAATGTGTAACAAACTAGAATGAATCATCTATATCAGAATAAGAATTGTGCATTGTGAAGAGAGAAATATGAATACTTGCGTAGAGCGAAGAACAACCGAGGAGGACTTTCGCATCTGTTGAAGAGAAACCTCGCCCCACCAAAAACTTTGTTGTTCCTTTATCGCCAAATTGTTTCCTTTGTCGTCCAGGACTCAATGCTCGCCAAACTACTGCTGTAGTGTCGCCACGTTTCATCGTTTTGGCAACAAAGCGACCGTTGACTACTCTTTTGGAGTGATTTAGCAAGTCGTGGATGGTTTTGGCACGGGGGCGGCGTTTTCGCTTCGGGGGGGGGGGGGTAATATTGCACCAAAAACAAAAGAATGAATCTATTCAGTCAAGTCGTGGGTGCAGTCGAGGTCCCCAATTCCAGAGCTCCCGCGTCTGAGAACGAGTTCTGATTGACACGAAGAACCAAAGAGGCGAATGAATCCCTGTCATCTGAAAACAACAATGACTTTTATTGGGATATCGGTGCCCGAATCATTCCGAGCACCCAAATGTGAGGCTACAAGGGAAAAGTAAGATGTAACGACTCTGCATAGTGAATACGCTCCAAGCTTTATTATAATAGTATACAAGGGAGTTCTAGATTATTATTATATTGTATACATCCCTCTTTCTGTTGTACAGTGCTTTTGCATTGTTACTTGTAGTGTAGTTCGAGTCCCCAAACAATGCCAACGATATCTATAGAAGCACGAGTGTTATGGACTCATCAATCCAACCATGACGTGTCGAGGAGAGTGATTGTGAACTGAGGATGTATAGCAACCTCGTTTGCGATAGTACTTGCGGCAGTCGCGAGCATTTTGCTTTTGCTGCTTCTGCAAGGTTTCAGTCAAAGTAGCAAACTTTGGACTGGCTTCCATCGATTCCTTGAGATGTTCAAAGGCTTCCAGGACAGCTTTCGATTTGCAATCCATTTCAGCGGCAGATGCCATGCGCAAGAGAAAGCATTGTCTTTGGACAATTGGAAGATCCTCGTGTGGAATCATTTCCAATGCCAAGAGCATAGAAGAATGAGCAACCTCTGATGGGTGGTACGCAAGGAAATGGTGATCCGTAAGAGTCACCTCGCAGGCCAAGGAGGTAATATTGGTAATCATTTGTCTGGTGGTTTGGCCAATTGTGTTTGGCAGCAACCGTTCGAATTGCCTTAGAAAGCAATAAGAAGATGGTGGGTGCAAGTGCCACTCCAAACTTTCCAGAATTTTCTGTTCCATCTTAACGACATCTTTTTCCGTAAACTGTCCCCTTCCAAGTTTGACCAACTTGTCCAGCTTGATAATGGTCGAATCGTGAGTTTTCAATGCCAATTGGAGTGCTGTAGCAGCCGCACATTGATGCTCCTCGGGGGTGCAAACCAGCTTCTTTTGAACTGCAACATCAAAGAAAAAGGAGGCTGCTGCCACTGCTGCGCGTTGCAGACGGCAGTAATCAACGACATAGTACATCCATTCAATCAGCATCTTTCGCCACAGGGCAACCAGTTCGTCCTCGATTGGTGCTTGCGCGTAAATCTTGGACTCTTGGAGTTTCATGCGTTCCAAGATGTCATGTACATCAACGTGAGTTTCGTCTATTTCTGTCATGATTGTGTGGGTTTGGTTGTGTTATAGGATGTGTGTGTGGGCGTGAGAATGTAATGGTGGAGGTTGTTTTGGTTTGATTATGTGAACCGAGGCACTATTTGTATTTTTGAGATTTGCAAGAAGGTTCCAACGTTTCGTGTCACAAAACACGGACGGTGGTATTGATGTGCGTTTGCCTCCGTACAAAATGTGAATCGCTGGATTCTCGTTGACGGAAGTGATTTTCAAAACGCGTTCCTTGGTTCGAGCACGATCCACATGAACACGATCCGACGAGAAACAACGTAGATTCCTGTACCGTTGCGGACGACACTCCGCCAAAATGGGCGGCTGGCCGGAGTGACCCGACGTCGTATCGGAAGGCACGGGTGGTCAACTGACGCGAAAGCCTGCACGAAAAAATTACGCAAACGTTGCGTTCGAATGAGTCTTCGATTCGACTACATCGAGTAATACGTCACGTCAGTCAAGTGCGACAGCACTTCCATGACCAAATGAGACATGCGAAAGATATTTTGAGCTGATATCGTTAAGTCCATTTGAAACAAAGGCGAACTTCCGTGCCTGTTTGGCACGCGACGGCAAATTCTGATCATTGCTCACCAGTACATCACTCACTCTTCCCACAGCGTTAAAGGTTGATTCGAACATGTACACTACGATTTGAACCAACACAATAATCTGTGATGTAACAAGCTCCTAGAGTAGAGGAGATGAAATGGATTGATGTTTTGTGTCATTGAATAGTTATCCTTTATTGGAGTCTAAAAGACTTGTTTAGTACTACAAAAAGTGAGAAACATGTGCAAAGTGCTCGTTGAAAATCGGATGCCAAGATAGAACTTTTTGGATTCCCTAAGTAATGAACGTTCTCGTACTCGTTGTTCGTTTTCGTCGAAGCCAAACGGTCTTGCTTATTATTTATTGTGACGTCAAGGAAACACATGAAACGGTACCCATCCAAAATTTTGGTGGTCGCACTGTGGTCACAACACTCTACTCGGGAAAATCTCCGAACTTTTCCCCTTGCCAAACAAATCAATCGTACCAATGGAGTGAAGTGGTTCCTGGACAGAAATTATTACCTTTATAATACCAGATGTACAATCAACTTCTAGCATCGAAACGAAAGTTTGATGGCCAAAACCCAGAAGTGCAAAACTTGCTTTCTCTTTCTATCGTTCAGCAGAACGACGGTAGCAGGATCTCTGGGTCGTACAATCTCCATAATAACACTTCTTCCTCAAACGCCTCGAACCACCTGGAAATGAACGGCGGTGACTTTCGAAGTAGGCAAGGGCAGCAGGGCGAGGCATCGGAAGACTATGAGCCCTACACAAGCACGAATGTGAATGATAATCATGACAGTGATGATCCGCTCTTTTCTGCTCCCATAAGACAGATCATTGATGACTATGATGGAGACATGGATGCGTCAAGATCTCCGGCAAAGAGAGCCAAGCTTCAGCATCAGCAGGAGCATTCAGGAGGACGACTGACTCCACCACCCAGTCCTCCCAACTCTGCCTTTGTCTTCTTTTTTCGGATACAACGCGAAAACCTCTTGGAAAAGGCAAAGACTGGGGGCACCAAGTTTCAAAACACCCAACAAGTCGTACAAGAAATTGAAAAGGAATGGGGGCTTTTGGCAATGGATGAACGCAGAGTGTACGAGCAACTAGCGGCGAATGATGAAAAGCGGTACCAGCGAGAAATTGAAGAGTACCAGAATAAGCGTCAACAACATCATCAACAACAACAGCATCAGCAGCAGCATCAACATCAACATCAATATCAACAACTGTCAAATCAAGGAGAGCAAGCGTCTAGAAACAATTTTCAAACCATGCTCCTCGCAGGACTCCTCCCAGGCCAAGTTTCAACAGCCACAGCTACACAGCTACAGGTAAATGCGATTGCCCGGCTTCGGTCACCATTTCCAACTGCAGCTGCTACAGTGAGCTCTGCTACAAATGTCGCTCCAAGCTACCATCACTTTATGCCGCCAACCCAGGCAGTCGTTAATGCCTCCAATGCCACCTTTCCAAACAGCAATACAATCACCCCACCACAGAATCCTCCATCGGTATCAGCTCCTCCTCCTACAACTCTAAGGATGACCAACGGTACCATTGTACTCCCTCCATCCCAATCATCGATTCCCTTACCCGCAGGCATGGAGATTGAATTGAGTGGGCGCATGTACAAGGTCGGATACCAATGCCAACTCATGACTCGTGAAGAAGCTCAAAAGTACGTCAAACCGTATACAGCGGCTCAGAGTGAACTATTCAACATGCAACAACAACAGCAGCAGCAGCAGCAGCAACCACCGTTACCTTCTCCATAATTTCTAAAAAGACACAGGGAAATAGAATAAAATGTTTAAGTAAACAGCTATATAGATTCATAATATCATTAAACTTTTCACTCTTGCTCTACTAGTTTCCCCATCAATCTTCTCTTGCAACAGTGAGCATGGACTTTACATTTGGCACGACCCCCCTTCGTCACGATTCGAGCAACGGTTCGAATTGCCGTGTGGTTTCACCTTGCTCGACAAAAATTCAAGCAACGGTTGGAATTACCAGTCCAGTTTCACCTTGCTCGACAAAAAAATGACTAATCTGTTGTAGCCGGCGTTGGCAGTGGGACTTTAATTTGGCACGATTCCTCTTCGTCCCGTATCAGATAGGTATCGGCAGCCGCCACGATTCGGGCAAGGATCGGCACTGCCAGCACGTTGTCACCTTGGTCGACAAAAATTTGGCTCGTGGTACAGGCAGTCGCATAAGCTAGCGATCCGGCAAATGCCAACAAGGGAACCTTCCATTCTGCTCCATCCGTGACGCCGTCGTATTTGGAAATCCAACTCTCGGCCAAGGTGGAGAAGCACTCGGTGGATTCGTCGGCAGAAGCATCTTCTGGGAGTCGTTGCATGTTGAAGTAAGCCCTTATGGTGGCATTGGAAAGTTTTAGGGCTTCGACTTCGGCTGGAATGCCATCCCATGGTGACGATGAGGAATTGATCGAGAAAACCGAAGAAGGAAGTGCGGTAAGAATGGTCGCCAGGATGATTGCGAATGTTCGAGGACCCTCATAAAAGGCAGAAGAATTGTCAAGATGAATCAAGGTTCTAGCAAGGTTCGGTTGCACAATGCCCTGAAGCAACAAGGCAACGTTGACTGCCGACAAGGATTCACCCAGAAAGGCACCTATTCTCCATTTTAGGTTAGGATACCGAACATGACTCGGAGTTGGTAGTGCGACAGGGTCCTTTTCGGCAATCACGTCGGAAAACACTCTACTCAACAAACCAGACGGTTCTTCCACGCCAGGCAACATGCTTCGGGATACGGCACGACTGTAGGATACAGCTAGACCAATGGCGAAGCTCAATGGAGCCACACCCAAAGGGTTGTCTCGCAACAGTTGCACTTGATGATTCCAGTCAATGTTGCCAGACTTTGACAGAATTCCAAAAAGTAGTACTTCTGATGCGAACAAGACAAATGGTGCAGCTTTCTTTTGCACCAAATTCTTCAGATCTCGATCTCGTGCCAAGGATTCTTTTGTGGACGTCATTGTTTTCTGACGTGCTTGCAAGAGAACTTGGTTCATTCGTTTGGCTGCAAACACAGCCGAAGAGGTGGCATCCGGCAATCCGGTGGTTTCATCCACAAAGTTAATGTAACGATTGGAGGATCGAGCCGAGGCCTTTCGTCGTAAATAGGAATCAGCATCACCCCGTGCCCACTTTTGACCGTTCCATCGGTATCCCATTTTCTCTAACATTTTAGCTTGTTGATCGTTTGGCTGAAGCCGATTTGGAGGTGGCGGAAGGTTGTCTTTTGATATGACGTTGTTCTTGTTGCCATTATCATTTGCCAAGCCGTGACATCCAGTCAGAAGGCTGGCCGCGATGTGGCTGATGAAGAGCACATAGCATAGAGATGTTCGGAACATTATTGCCTTTCTCTCATTGTTTGGAATCTTCGTTAGGTTGCAAAATACAGTATCGTACTGATGTAGATTGCAACAGATTTTATCATTAGGTCGTGATACATTAACGGACAAAATCAACCAAACGGACATATTTAGTGCGTCAGGCAGATTTGAAACTTCAAAAACGTCAACTCTGCTACCGGTACGAGTCTACGATGTAGTAGCTTTTGATTGATTGGAGGTGTGTGGAATCCTTATACTGTAGGTTGAACCAATACGGATAAAGATGATCACACTATCTCAGATCCAGCTTGTGATCTTCTTCTTTCTAATCGCTAATGTAGTATCGTTTCAGACAAATCACCAACAGCTGAAAACTAGTTCTGGTACCACATCGCTGGCAGCATCCGAAGCCTACCCCACGTTCACACAAGTCATATCAGATGTTGATGACACATTAAAAAGCAGCGGTGGAGTGAATGTTGGGGGAGTGGCTCTGGGTGGAATCGATGTGCAATATGAAAGAGGCGACTTTTACCCAGGCGTAGCCGAGTTCATGCTGGAGATAAGTCGACATGGATTGTCTGATGAAGACTCCAAGTGTCCTCCGAAAGTGGCAATTCTAACAGCAAGGGCTGAAGAGTTCAAGATGGCGCTTGAGATCAAGGAAGACAGCAAGCTTGCTGTAGCCATGAGGACGGCGGGAGAACGAGCTGGTATTTCCGGCTGGGGAGTTGGTCCTGTACTGTACGGGAGCGTAGCTGAGTGGGTGATTCAATTTCGCAAGGGCTTGAGAAAGTTTACAAACTTTGAACGTCTAATACAACAAGATCCAACAGGAATGATTATGCAGTATGTTTATGTTGGGGATACTGGGGAACTGGACCAAGAAGCAGGTGAAACAATGCTACGGGAATATCCTGAAGTTGTCAAGGCTGTGTTTCTTCATGTTGTTTCGGACGAACTGGATCCACCGCCTACCATTCCTCCGCCCAAAATCATCAATGGGAGACCACTGGTTTTCTTCAAGACGTACGTTGGCGCAGCTGTGGACGCAGTGCAACTCGGATTTATGGAAGTCAGCGGTTTGGAAACTGTAATCCTCGCCGCCACCGAGCGGTTGGGCAACACTCCCAGAGAGAGCGACAAGTGGCGTGACCTGCAGAATGATATTGGCCGAGCCGAAACTATTTTGAGTCAATATTCCCTGTAGTTCTGGAAAAAGTCGAGCCTTGATGTGCATTGGAATACTATGCGCTAGATCCCCTTTTTGAAGCTGTCGATTTTCTATCTGTCGAATTCCTCTTAATTTTTGAGGCTCTTGACGGATCTTTTGAAAACGATTCATCAAAATGATCAATCTTAGTTCTTGATTTGCGCTCTTCGTCGGATTCAGGGATCTTCCACCCGAAGCATCGCACTGTCAATGCTGCAAAGATGTAAGCATTGGCTCCAAAGATTGGTACGATGACATAGGAAACGACGAGTAGTGCCAGCCACATAATGTATAGATTCTCCAAGTGCACCTCTTCCAGATAGTACGCATACGCACATATCGTGAATATAAAAGAGAAGGAGAGCATGAAGACTGCTGCAGCGATGTCCTTCATCAGCTCGCCTCGAATCAGGTTGTAAATTAGGATTTCTTGTGATGTTGCAAACAACAGAATTGCAAGTTCCGAGAGAACCCAGTCAATGCTAAACTGAACAACGGGCCAGTCTCCAAGTCCTGGACCATCCTTCTGACCATACAGGTCATCCCATATTGACTTGTCCAGCATATCTGAGAATAGTGGATATGCTGTGTCTTGAGTGCTGTCAAAAAAGCAGACATGGTCATGCTTTGAGGCATCTCCAAACAGAATCGATACGCCAAAGGAAAGAACTGTTACCGATAAGAAGCGAAACCATAGAACGGACGAGCGTTCATCGCGTTGGCATATGAAACAGAGACATTCGAACGGATTCTTAAAGACAGAGCAGAACTTCAACCTTTCGCCTTTGATGTTGATGTATCCAAACATGTGAAGATAGTAACGCTTCATCCATTCAAAAAACTTGCCGTCAAAGAGGCGATAGTCCAATGTAGCCGAGGCCAACAAAAATAAAGCAATCATCGACCACATGACAATCATGGGCCAGGAAAGGAAATCCGTTTCGTTTCCCGGCAATGGTGCAATCTTTTGGCCTGCAAACAACGATGAACCTGCACAACCGCCACTGCATGTGAAGACGCCCGTTGCAGTCTCGAACGTACTGGCATATGTTAGCCATCCTAGCTTTTGCTCTTCACAATATCGCTGAAGGGCCCCACACGAAAGATCGTCGACTGTTTCGACTTCGACATCGCCTCCGCCACAATAAACAGTAGTGGGAAGGGCTTCTTCCACCGAAAACCCAAAAATGGTGCCTGGAAGCTGCTCGCTCTCTTTCCCTCCGATGAACCCATAATCTACGGAAGAGTTTGTACTACAACCACTGCAATAGTATGGGCCGTAGTTTGCGGCTTCCATCATTTCCGACTCATTTCCGTACTGAAAAAGGCTGATCTTGCTTTGAAATCTCGAGACGTCTTCAAAATATTCCCCCCACATCAAGAATGTTCCTTTGCATGCTTCTTTTGCTTCCGCAACAGTCTCATAGGTTAGACAATCCAGTGATGGAAGGTTCTCGGGCACAAAATCAACATTCACCCGTTCACCTTCGACCGTGACATATTTCTGAGCCAAGAGCATGCTGACCAGTGCAGCGATAACACTACAGTGTCTTGTCATTCTAACAGCAAGACGAAGTTCTGTGGTGGAAGATGGAGGGAAAGAAAAATCAGTTTCGGGTTTTCTGGAATACAGATGGTTTCTGTTGGAAGCAACATTTATAATGGAAGCAAGATCAACTTTCGTGGAACCATGATCGACATTCAAATTTTGGCCGCACAGAACTTAACTTTCCGCGATGATTTAGCGTTGACTCATTCGAATGATCTAGTCAGACAGTCAGACGTCTTGACGTCATACCTACTGACTGACATCACATGCGTGCGCGCACACCTCACACATCACTTCACGAGTGCTCATTTTGGACGATCTTCGAGGCGGTTCTTCTGCGGAAATCCGATCCATCAGTTTCATGTCAAAAATCGATAGATTGCTGATTCTTACGCCGTTACCATGAAGTTCCTCCTTGCATCCCTTTTGATCTCCCAAGCTGTTGCTTTCGCTCCTATTGCCCAAGGCAACGTCAACACTGCCCTTCGTGCCGGTGACTACGAACCAATGGAGGGCGAAGGCAAGATGAATATGAAGATTGACCTTGATTCGAAGAAGGTCGTCAACATGGAAGAACTTGCCGCTGGTGACAAGAAGGTTTACTGCCGTTGCTGGTTGTCTGGTACCTTCCCTCTTTGTGATGGTACCCACGCCAAGCACAACGATGCCACTGGTGATAACGTTGGACCACTAATTGTTTCCGGGCCCAAGAAAGAGTAATCATTGTGATTATATCTGCGCGAGCACTTCGTGTACCAGCTTCAACCAATGAAGCTTCTATACTATTCGGAACAAAGGTTTAATGACTATTAAAGTGAATGACGACAACATAATAGAATGGTGTACCAGTTGATGGTATGCTCGTGCTAATAGAATATACGTTTGTTATGATCGTCAAGTGCTGTGGAAATTTCTGCTTCGTTCTTATGCGTTCTACAAACTCGTCCATTGCAAAAGATGAGTTCGTATGCCCTATTCGAATGAAGGTCGCACCCATTCTGGAGAAATTCCAAATGAATGATTCTCATGAAACGAGTTTCTCGCTTTTCCTGTTGTGTCTAGTATAGGTAGGTTTGTTTCTTGGACCTTTTGTGGACAGCTTTTATACTGTAGCTGGAAATAAAGAAGAATGGGGCAAACTCGGTCATCCTATATATTCTATCTTGTTTCAATTATATTTGTTGCTGATGACGTCGTATTATGCCACCTTCAAAGGCCTTGCGTCAACCCAAGACTCGCTTCAGCAATGTGCCTGGTACAGTCGGATATTCATTCATGCACGCCAGTCATGGCTGTACAGTAGCCAATTCGAAAAGCTCTATGTGGCATTGTGAGCATCTTGGGCATCTTGGGCAACTTGGCCAACTTTAACGTCGTGAGCCTCTTCAGCGTTTTGAATCCTGTGCATCTTTTGAAATGGAAAGAGGCGAATCTTTTTCAGCAGAGCCAAAGCTTTGCTTGCCTTCAGCTTATTATGAGATTTTCGAAGTCCTTTATTCCATCTCTTGAATGCATTTTGGATTCCTCCTCGCCTCATCACCCCGCCCCTTGTATTGATCTCATCGGAACGCTCTTTGAGATTGGAGATGATGTTGTCTTTCACTTCGTCCACTTCATGATCTGTGACAATGCGAATCAGGTCAGTAAGAGCGTCGTTGTGTCCAAGGATATCAACATGGTCACCCGAATGCGGCCCTCTTCTCATCGGATCCTCTACTGTGAACTCCTCCCGGTGTTCATATTCTCTCGTGACGACTGGAATCCTTGATGGGTTAAGCTTGCTTCCTTTTTGTCTCCAACCATCCGCACAAAGGTATCCCAAGGACTCCAATGGTACGCTGCCATCTCCATCGGTATACTGTTTCGAAAGAAGACACAAAGGTTTAGAAGACACAAAAGATTTAGCAAGTGACAAACAAATCCTTCTGTAGACCCACCTCTATTCCATGTATAATATTATTATCAGCATCCTCGACACTCGTGTCAATGACAAATGGAACGTCGGCACTCGGATTGGATAGGTCATCGTCCGTTGCTCCTTCGTCTTCATTTCGCTTATAGTAGTATGCCTTTTCCGTTTGGAGGCCGACACCTGAATTAGTAGGTATGTGTGAGGGTCACGCGTTCTTATTCTTGATCGCTTTCCAATATTATATGCACGTACCATACAAGCAATAAATCTTCATGTTCGGGGCCTTTGGAAGTGGAGTTTTTGACGCATCATGCCACGCTTTCTTCCCCGTCTCAGATTGGTAGCCTCCTCCCAATCTTGCAAGGAAATCTATGATTCGAGAACTAGGGTGGTGACTGTATGATCCAAATCTCTCCACCGCCTCATGCATCGGGGTATCCTTGTCCAGGATATCCCAGTCGTCATCTGAACCGGTTCCTTCTCCGTCTGTCATAGTGATGATATTCTCCCAGAAACCATCACTTCCTTTCGGCAGCATGTGCCACAAAGAACCCCATGATCGCCACAGATCGCAGCGGACCTTGCGCCCAATGAACTGTTCGATAAGCGAACCTGCGGTTCCCATGAAAATTGTATCACTCATCTCGCCAGAAAGCAAGGCACTCGCAGCCTTGGGAACACCCAAATGAGATCCAGCAATATTGACATAGGCATGAATGTGGTTGTCGACCCAATTTGGGTCTTCGTCAGAGACCCATGCAAAGAAATAGTGCACTAAAAGTACCCCAAGCGAGTGCGATGTGAGCACAATCTTCTTTCCAGTGACTTTGTGAAAAGCCTCAATTTTGTATTTGAGTTTGGTGAAGAACCCGTCTCGCTCCTCTAACTTTGGAAAGGAAAGTCGCCAGTCGTAACTCTCCATGCTCATTATGGAGCCATCATACCCAACATCTGCCAAGGATTCCAATATCTTGCCCCAAACCCAATAGTTGCCAACAAAGTAGTCTGCTGCCTCAAATCCTTGTGCGGATCGTATTCTGATTCCTTCTGGATCTTTTCCAGTAACAGGATCTAAAGTCAAATGTTCCATGACACAATGCCGCTCCATAAGCCACTGCTGTACGCTTCCAGCGCCTCCCCACATACGTGTGCGAAAATATTTCTTGGCGCATTCCTTTCCTTGCCAAATTTCCAGACCACTCGTGACAAATCCAGGGATCATGATTACAGGATACTTTCCATGAGCACCCTCTTCCGCTAACTGAAAGCCAGGTCGCAACCGTTCTTGTGTCAGGTGAGTTCGGGACTGATTAAAACGATTCCAGGTATCATTGAAAGCATTGAAGGTATTGAGCTGGTGCTGTAGTTGTGGAATGATACCACTATCTGAATCAATATGATTCTTCAAACCCGAATACATCATCCATTGTCCCGCGAGTACAATGGCTGCAAACATAAGCAGAAATTTTTTTCTCGACATGTTATTGTCACCAGATTCTGCCGTCTCTGGTGAATTATTGGTATTCTCATCATCAAGTTTCTCTCCTTTCGAAGTGTCGACCGAGTCTTCATGGCTCGATTCGTCGACGTTGGGGGGATGCGATGTTGTTTCTGATGCCCCATCAGCTGCTTCTTTGTTTGTGCTCATTGTGGTAGTGAGTGAGTGACCGACAAATATGTGAGTACAAAGAAGATATCTTTTTGTGTTTGGTCTACTGGTGTTTTTGTGTTCTTCTATTCCTACTGCGTTGAGAATCGCTTTCCCAGGTTCTCGTTCTGTCGTAACTCTGAGAAGAAGTTGTCAGTCGTGTGGTGTGTGATAATATACTTGAATGCTTGATACGCCTTCAATTTGTTTTTTCTGGGATATGGATGAGAAAATCATCGACGTTGTGTACGACGCGTTCTTATTTTTTGACGCATACGGTATGTGACGTGGAATCTGCATTCCGTCCGAAAAAATGTAATGTACTGTATGTACGTACAGTAGATATGTGTCCAGTGATTCGATATTTGACCCCATCGACTAAAACAGAAAGTTATTCGCACCAGCACAAGAAAGCAAGCATGACACAACAACAACAAAACCACCAACAACAAAGACTATGAGCAATGATGTCGATCCCAAACAGACTGCCGCAACCTTACAGATGGCAGCTTACATGGAATCCACAGGCGACTACAAAAACGCGCTGGACTTTTACCGAAAAGCACTTTCCATGCTCTTCCAGACGGTCGGCCAGAAACATCCAACCGTGGCCGAAACCTATGAAAAAGTTGCAACCATACTCGAGAAGGTGGGAAACAAGGAGGGTGAGAAAACAGCAAGGAAGAAAGCGAGCGATATATATCAAGAACTCTTCACTGTACTCTTCAAGCAAGGGAAGACGGATGAAGCCTATCAAATGTACAACAAGTCCAAAGGAATCAACTTGGAACCATCCTTGCTGAAACGATCGTCACTGACGAGCTCCAGAACCATCTTCAGCTCAGCAAGTAGTCGGTCTTCTGAGCTTCGAGCTGAAACTATTAGCTTCCTCGATACGTTGCGAGGATACTTGGATTGTCGACAACAAATGGACGCAAAGTACCAAGAAGTGGACGAGGATAATCGCTTGGCAAACTTTAAACTCAAAACGGATTCCGGGGGGATACAATTGCCTGACAAGGAAGACCAATATAAGGAAGTTTATCAGCAACAGTCAGTTCACGGAGTAGCTGTCAAGACAATTGATGAGCTCTACGCCGCGGCAGAGGTAGCTCAACCAATATATGAGAAGACAATCAAACGATTGATATCCAAGGTTTGCGACGATTGCGGGACAAGTCTCAACAAAGTTGGAATGCGCTTTGCTGATTTGAAGCAACAAGAACGTGCTCTAGAAAAAGCTGAAGATGATTATGGTAGAAGGCGTCCTGGACCTGCGGTGTCTTGGTTATATGATATCGTCCGAGGAAGCGTGGAGTTTCGATCTGCCAAAGAAATCGAGCGATTTGTCCACAATCTGCGCAAGAAGAAAACTATTCATATTGTAAAGGCGAAGAATCGTTTTGAGAGACCTAGTCTGACTGGATACCGCGATATGTGTATACATATTCAGCTTGATACGAAGAAGGGTTTCCATCACATCTGCGAGGTGCAGCTTCACCACAAAGAGATGATTGAGCTTGAAAAGGAGATTGGATCTCATGAGTTCTACGAGTTCTTTCGATCATACTTTGCTGGCGCGACGGGAAGTCTAAGGGAACGTCTGGACGACTTGCAGTTGATCAGTGAAGGTAGATTTGTTGACGACTCGTTCCTGGCCAACTTGCTCGCAGAGTGTCGGGACGTGGATCGTCTCGAAAGATTGGGGAAATTATTCGCAAAGCAGCTGTGCGAGTACGACAATGCAATTCAAATCTATCAAAGAATAGCACAATTGGAGTCCTCGCGGCTTGGTTCTAAGCATCCGATGATGGCAGGCATCTACAGCACTATCGCCGATATATTACAAGAGAAAGGAAGTATGAATGAAGCTCTTGTCATGTATGAGGAGTCCATACAGCTTTTCGCCAGTTCCATCGGAGTGACACATCCTGCAATAGCAGCAATGTACAATAATTGTGCAGGTGTCCTGGAACAAGTCGATAGGTATGATGAGGCATATGAAATGTACAAAAAGGCATCCACTATATTCCAAGAGCGACTTGGAGAAAAGCATCCATCTTTAGCCAGGATCTACCATAACATGTCCGGTATCCTGCAAGATCAGGGCAAAATAGATGCGGCCATGGACCTTCTTCAGAAATCATTGAATATCAAATTGGAGGCATTCGATGACACCCATGAATCAGTTGCAAATTCTTACGATAGCATCGGTCATGTCCTTGTGCGTCAAGATAAATTGGAGGAGGCAACGGAACACTATGAAAAAGCTCTTGAGATATTCAGGCGAACTGTTGGACCAGCGCATTCGTTTGTCGCGACGGTGTCCCATAACAAGGGCGAGCTCTTGCATCGGCAGGGAAAACTAGACGAAGCGTTGGAAATGTTCAACACGGCATTACAAATTAAGACAAAAAATTACGGAGAGGAGAGCTCTGCTGTCGCCGGCACCTACGATTCGAAGGCGTCAACTCTCGTGGACAATAATATGCACGATGATGCTATAGACTTGTGCAACCGAGCCTTGGCCATCAAGAAGAATACTGTCGGTGAAAATCATTCATCCATTGCCCACATCTACATTACTCTTGGAAACATACTGTTATCACAGGGCAAGTTCGAGGGAGCGATGGACATGCAATCGAAAGCCTTTAGAATTGTTACGAAAGTCTTCGGTAACGAACATTATTCAATCGTCGATATATACAGCAATATGGTTATGATTCTGATCGAGCGAGAGAATCTTGAAGAAGCAATATCAAAAGCACAACAAGGGCTTAGTCTTGCAACGAAGCTTTTCGGTGGAGACAATACAGAAACGGCCTCGGCTCAGAGCAATCTTGGTGATGTACAAAGAAGCCAAGGGAAGGCCCAATCAGCGATGGAAGCATACGAAGAGGCAATGCGAATCGACAAACGCGTTTTTGGCGATAATCATATTCGTGTTTCGATCGGATACCGAAAAATCGCAAACGCTTTGGTGGATCTAGGGGATAAGAAACGAGCTATCAAAAACTTCAATCGCTCATTGGATTGGCACGAGACGAGGTCTGGAGACTATGCATACTCCCACGTCGATGTACTATATGATATTGGCCGGCTGCATGTGCATCTCAAAAAGTTTGATAAAGCAATGGATTATTTCCAACGCGCCTTCGACATTTGTGTCGAAGCTGAATGCGAGGATCACTACATTGCTGCGAAAGTACTCGCGGGGATTGCATGGGCACAGAAAAGTGAGGGAGCCGATTTGGATAAATCAATGAATTCATATCGAACGGCAGAAGACATTCTCAAAGCCACTATTGGAGACGATCACATCGTCCTCGGAATTGTCTATAATGGCATCGGGGAAGTACTGGCATGTCAAGGGCAATTTGAGACTATCTGAGTATGGCCAGGGCGATTTACGAGAGTGAGCTTGGTGACTATCCCTTTCGAATCGCTGAAGTGAATTACATCTTGGGCATGGTTCGACAAAAAGAAGGAAAAATCCAAGAAGCATTGACATTGTTAAAGAAAGCTGATCAAGCCTTTTGCAAGACGGCCCACACCTACGAGCAAAAGAGGGTGCATCATAGAGCATGTATAGCAGCGGCAGAATGTTTTCGGCACGCAGGAAAATTGGAAGAGGCAGAGGAAGTAGAAGAACGAGCTCAAGCTATAGTGTTGTTTTGAGAAATTTTGATAATATATACAGTATAAAAATTACTAACATCACGTTATTATTGAAGTTGCGTACGGTGCGCACCGTAGCGTTGAACTGCGCACCACGAGCGTGCCGGCATCGCGTGATGGTATTTTTCGTGCACCTTCAAGCGTTGTGCTTGTGAGTCGCCATTCGTATGCTTCCAACATCAGAATCGCAAGAACATCCACACACCTCCACCTATCTAAACAGGGTTACTTACAACGTATTTGATAGAAGAAGCGACAAAGAAAAGAAGAAGACTCTAGAATGATGAAAGAACTGAACTTTTCGAGGCACACCTGTTGCCTAATTATTGTTGCATTGATGGCAGCTTCCCACACTTGTCATGCAAGTGGAACAAAATTGGAGCAACAAAAGTCCAGATCACTTTTCCTTGATAGTATTGTAATGCGAGAGCCCTCAAGCTCTGCTGCGACTGCTCCTGTCGCATCGGTGGCGTCGCCTCCTGTCACACCGGCAACCAACATGCCAACTCAGACTCCAACCCTAGCAGGTACTGCTGGCCCAACACACGGAGCGATCCCTGCCATTACCCACACTCCCACTCAAGCAGTCGGTAGTGCAACCACGACTGCAGCCGCTGAAGATGTCATAGCAGTGGCAGCTTCCGCTACTATAACCCCAACAATCACTCCAACAGTCACTCCTACCATTGAAGCATCGAGCAGTCCCACCAGCAAGCCGACAACTTCGCCCACGGTAATGGCTAGTTCTCATCCCACTGCTACTCCTTCGAGATCACCCACAGCTCAGCCGTCTGCCATTCCAACAAAAATGCCCACGATGAGTCCCAGTATCGCTCCATCGAGTACGCCATCTATGGCTCCATCAGAAGTTCCATCCCCAGCCCCTTCCGTCACACCCGACTGCATTGATGATCTTTCCAAGGTACACGACATGGAAATCAACATTCAAGATACTTCTAGACGTCGAAAATACTGGCTGTGTCCTGACACGGTGTTCAATATGGGGACCTTGAACGCCAATGGAACAATCATTGATGGCCAATCCTACATTATGTTACGTCCCAACGTCATTTACCAGTGTGGGTTGGATGGTAGCCGATCTAACAACTGTACCATTCAGGGTGGAGATTTTGGTGTCACCTCCTTTTATGGTGTCTTCGAGGGCATTCAAGAGACTGTGGACAATGCCGTTATTCAAGGATTGACGTTTGTGGGCCAAAGCCTCTTCTCCGTGGTTCTGGAAGCCGCAGGCGACGTCACATTTCAAGATTGTGTCTTCCGAGATCAAGAAAGCATGGCACCTGTCCTGATTCAATGGAATGGTGAAGCACCTTTGGAGAGTACCACTCGTAGGTTGCGAGCTTCAGCCGATTCGGGCAATACTGGATTCCAAGGCTTTCATCAGCGTCGAGTTCAAAACCAAATTTCGGCCACGCGGTATTTGGAGGAGAATGCTACTGATGTAGTGGAGGATACCACTGTGAGCACCACTCAACTCAGACACAAGGTTGCATTCAGACAGTGCGTCTTCCGTAACAACCGTGCCAACAAGCAATATGGACTTCCAAGTATGATTGAAAACACCTACCAAAGCGAATTGGTCATCGAACATTGCCTATTTGAGAACAATGACTACGGAGAGGCAACGAACCCAACAGTAAGTAGCTTCAGAGCTAGGATGACAACTTGCACTTGTGGCCTGTAATTAAAGCTAACAGACTGTCCTTGTGTGCAGCCATTTGGATATGCCATTCGCAGTTTCGGCCCATTGTCTGTCGAAGCCAGCTGTTTTGAAGACAATGAATTCCTGCAGGACGCTCCTGTGGTAGTTTACAATGACATCTACTCTTCTGTCAACAACTATGCCACCCCCAAGCCCGATCACTTGTACTGTGGCTTGATGGCCCTCTATAACAACAACAGAACTGGATTGGTCACACCTGCATCATCTTTGATTGACCAGGGTACTCCTGACTGTGTGGAATCAGATGTGGATAGTTGTTTGGTCCAATTGGCCCCCACCTTGGCGCCGACCGAACCGCCGAGCATGGAACCAACCATGGCATATGATCGTATTGTCCACATCAGTGGTAGCTCTAGAATACAGTTTTCGAGAATGGCAATGGTGGCGCTGTCGTCCATCTTGCTGGTGGCCAGTTGGTAAGAGCCAATTTAGCGTCCTTGACAGTACTGTAGTTCCACCAAGAGGATCGATCGTACCATTCGATCCATTCATACCCATGTAAACCATAGCTTTATATTGATATTTACTACTTTTTAGATTTGTGTTGGGGAACAGCATACCATGCATTCTATTATTCTATTATTCATCCCCACTCAAGAACTATTTCATTCACCATCCATTCCCACATGTCGCATCAAGATTAAAAATCAGATCTCGCACGCGGGGATCCGCGTAACAAATGTAAGGTGTCACATACGACAAATGTCCGACAGGGTTGAACCTTTCCTTCATTTTTCTCCCAGATTATTGGGACACAAACCATCACAAAAATTCAAAACCCGAAAAGTTTTTGCCGACGACAATCAGATGCATCTATCATCCCCCATCCTATCATCGCCCAAAGCGATGTTACCACTATCGGAACGATATAAAAAAGCCAACGAATACTTGCGTGACGAAATCCGTCGAGTCAAGCTTGCCCACGCCCAACAACTTGCTGAAAAGGATGCCATGATTGAAGACCTGAACGAGCAAATCCAGCGCCTTCAGCAACAGCAAGCGCCACAGACAAGGATCAAGCCCAAGTCTTCCTCTTCATCACCGTCTAGCAATCCTAGACCAGGGGTTCTACGTCGTTCGAATTCCCATTCGGCGTCTACCAATTCTACTTCCAGTCTACGAATGGCCGAATTAGCTTCCTTTTCGACCACTTCAGCTGAGGAAGACGAAAGCATCAAAAGCATCACCAGTAACAACTACATTCACGAATCTTTTCTTTCTATTCCAAAGGTCCCCCTTACGGAAGAAGACGAAGAGGAGGAGGAAGAAAAGGTGAAGAAAGAAGATATTTTATCTCAAGACCGTGACAAGAAAAATGATAAAACCATTGAAATCCGCAATGCCAATAACCCTCAAGACGAAGAAGAAGTCATGTCCGATCAACTACCAAGGCGCAAGCATTCCTTATCTGCTTTCGTCCGAACTACTAGCAGGAGATTCGTTCGTCGTATGTCCTTCAAGAAATCCCGACGGCCTTTTTTTCGTCCAAAGAAATTGGGACGGAAAGGAACTCCCTTGCCTACCACCATAGAAATGGTGGGTGATTTGAAGGAGAAAGATCCTCGTGATATCCATTACCAACCTGACACACCATACGAAGATGATAAAAGTCAAAATGGACCACCACGATTGGAATCACTCAAGCGCATGAGTTCCATCTACTCTAACGGCAGCTCGGTCTGGTCGACCGATCCTATTTCATCTGACCCTGCCTTTCGATTGGACTCCAGGAGAAGCTCTGGCTGGTCCATGAATCCACTTCCGTCTGACTCTGCTGCTAAGCGACCTTCAACAAACCCCCGAAGGCCCACCATTGTTGCTCCTACTGTCCGGGTTCGGGAACTGCCTCGAGAATTGAGCCTCAATCGAGTCGTAACGGAAGACGAGGACAGCGATGATGATTTGTCAAGTCCCCAACTGGCCACGAAACCCAATGAAAAGCATCAGACCACTTCCACCGTCCAAGTGAATTGCCAGCACATCACCGATGCGTGCAACCGTCGTGGGCTTTACAGTGGAAGCCTGGATGCCGAGACGCAACTACCGCATGGACATGGAAGGTACGATGGCTTTTCTCTTATCATTTTGTTTCATTTTCGTCGGCGTTTTTTTCTCAATACCTTCGACCAGCATGATTTACCCAGGCAGGGCGCGGTACCAGGGATCCTGGGAAGAAGGTCACTGGCATGGCAAGGCGATCTTCCGAGATGGCATGGGTAGTGTCTATCACGGATACTTTGAGCAAGATAAGAAAGAAGGAACTGGCATTCTCAAGTACGCCAGTGGAAAAACCTTTGAAGGCCGGTTCAAGGACAACCAAATGTACGAGGGTACAATGACGGATGGTCGCACTGGTTCCACTCACGAAGGTCTCTTTGAAAATGGACAATCCCATGGTTTTGGATCGCACCAGTATTCGGATGGCTCCGAGTATAGGGGTCAGTTTGAGCAAGGCGAGAGACATGGACATGGTACGGTCGTCATGCCATCTGGTGCCAAGTACATTGGGGATTTTGAAAATGACCTGGCCCATGGAATGGGTCAATCGGAGTATAAGGATGGAACCGTCGAGCATGCTGGCCACTGGGATACCGGGGTACCTGTGCATTCGCAAATCTTCGATGCCTAAGCGGGAGCATATCGCTGTCGCCTAATCACAAAATTTAGGCAAATGTTGGCGATTGACCCATCAAGTTAGGATGGCAGTAGTAATAATACCCAGCGGAATCTGGGTGTAAGGTAGTTGTTGCCAAACGGCAGAAGAAGCAACAATGATCCTCGGATCAAAAGTATGGGGCAGAAGGCAGTGCTGTCATGCTGCTCACATTATTGATACTTGCGATCCCTCATAGTCTTTTTAAGAGCTGTCATTTCATATGGAACTTCTTTGTTGTAATATAGGAATGAATCATCGAATTGCAATATTTAGAAGAGAGCACTGAAGCGATTGGACACCACACCGACAGAATCGTCATCAGAAGATGATTCGTCGTCACTGTCGTCTGTATCAACCTTTTCCTCTCCCTCTGGCACAGACCCACCATTCTCGACAGCTTTCGTGTCAATATTTTGTGGAACTTCTACAGCTGATTCCTCAGCTTCTTTGTCGTTGGAATTATTGCCATCCTCGTTGTCGTGGTTGGTTGGGTTTGATGGCCCACGTGACTTTTCCGCGATAATCTTGGCTTCCAGAGCACAATTCTCTAAGCAATATCTCTGAGCCTCTTGTTCACTCTTGGGTTTGCGGACTCGTACAAAGATCTGATTGTTGGGCAACAACCCTTCCTCTCGGCATCGTTTCAATACCCACAATCGTCGATTGTTCAGCGAAAAGTACCACGGTCCATCATCATCTTCCGATACAGGTGGACCCACAATGACTTGAATCGGCGGTAAATCTGAAGGATTCAATCTGCCATCCCGAATCTGTTCCAAGGTTCCTTCCACGCTGCGCCCACACCCACTAAATACTGGGCGAATTTTGGAATGCTGAAATCGGACCCTGGCTGGATCGACCATCAATCCGCCTTCGGAAGCTGCCACAGATGCGGCTGCTGTAGTGTTGGCCTTTTTCTTCTTGCTGTTGTTCTGCTTCTTGCCATTCTTTCCTTTGCTTTTTCCCATGATGATTGCAGATACGGCGTTCGCTGGATTATTGAGTGGTGGCAAATCATCATTGCAATTTCGAAATTTTGTGGGCGGGACAAAGGTCGAAGGAGTCGATCCAAAGGGCGGGCAGGCGATGATTGCGATTGATTTTGCGGTCAACATAATCTTCTGCCGACGGAAATGCGAGTGGTTCATTCATTCTCTTCGAACTACTGTAGCGGTGCGGTACGAATCCAAAACGGATACTGATCTGTCAGTTGTCGGCAGATCTTTACTTGAGCTCTACGCATACAAGATAGTGCTGTACTGGACAGTTGTTATTGTCCTTTTGTAACCATTGTCTGTATTCTGTTCGATGTCCCTCAACGTTCAAAACTCTCTTCCGAAATTGAATTGCAATACTTTGTGGAATCAATCTGGGTTTTCCTCCATGGACACTTCGCCATCTGCTACCAGCGCCCGCAATTCGATTGCTTCTTATGGCTTTCTTGGTGGCTCGCCTTCCAAAGAAAGTACACAGAGGATGAATTTTGAAGACCACAATCAGAGCTACAGCAGCTCAATGAGCTTGGAGACCCTGAAAGACGTGGACGGTGAGGATTTTCGTAAGGTAGCATCGGACAAAGAGTTTTCCAAGGAGCCAGAAACAGTACAAGAAGAGGCTGCTAGCGATGAGGTTGTTCGTGAGGACAGAAGTACATCTTTAGGCGAAGAAGAAGATCTTCGAGGTGCTGCAATTGTCTCTGAAGAAAAGACGGAAGATCATGAAACTGCCTCTTTGCATTATTCAAGTGATGCTGTTGATGCCACTGATACTGCTGGTACTGCTGATACTCCTCATGTCGAACGTGCAGAAATGCAATCAGAGCGAGCCGAAGAGAGCATTGGTGAATCATCCTCAGAGCCAGAGCAGACTAGAAGGGCTGTTGCTTTCAATGAGAAGGAAAATCAGCATATATTCAACACTGGCATTACCCCAACGAAAGTGACACAATTGGACCCGGAACAGATTCAGATTCGCAGAAGCTTTTCGGATGGTGTCATTGACAATACCACCCTGGAGTACGTCCCAATACGCTTAAAGTGTGGTATAAACGTCATGTGTGCTCCCCAAGTGCTTTCGGCGTCTCCGTTGGTTTTGAGATGTCTACAAACGGATGCCCAACGTTTGTTTACGATACTACCCAGATCGGTGCACGATCTGTTACGGCGGACCAAGATATGGGTGAATGCATCCTACTCTTATGGTTCCTTTGATGATCCCCAGATACTACGGCATTCCACGGCGCATCACAGCGACGAGTGGCTGGTTAACATTGCCAAGGATATACCTGAAAAGGCCTGCAGTATTGAAATTTATGACTGCAGATATTATGAACGGATGCGATTGCACTGGAATGGGGCCGGTCTGTTGCTGCACGAGTTTTGCCATCTGGTTCATCAATTCTGTCTTGGATTGGATAATTCCAAAGTTATGGAACTCTACCTAAAGGCGGATTGCTCGGGGAAATACAATGAAACGCCGCGACGAGACTGGGCGGGATGCGACAAGACTCACGATATGGGTAAGTTTGCATTTTTGATTTGGTTCCCAACGCAAAAGTGCTCACTGTAAATTTTGTTGTTCCTGTTCATTCCTCACAGCATATGCACTGGTGGATCAAAAGGAGTTCTTCTCCGAAATGTCTGTAAGCTACCTTAGCACTGGATACCGGCATTTGAACAAGGCTGATAGTAGCGTGCTGGAAACTTGCTGTCCACCGATCCTACTGCCAGATGTCTTTGACAGAGTGCTGCGTCAACATGGAATCGACGACCCTCTGGAGCGGCCAGAAGACTCCATGTGTTACATCCTCAACTACGCCCAGCGGCGGCATCCAAAACCAAAACTAGAAATTGCAGATCCCATCTTTCGGGAACGAGCCATTGCAACAAACTGTCGGAAGATTCCAATATGCAACAAATTCTACCCTTTCACTCGTGGACAATTGAAACATTATGATCCTTCCCTCTGCCACGCCATGGGGGGCTTGTGGAAAGAAATCGCTCGCTGGAAGGATCCCGAGGCAGAGTCGTCTTCCATATGCGCATTTCCAACTCTTTTTTAGTAGCATATCGAAAAAGGAACCATGATCGTTGGTATAAAACAATGCCATGTCATTGTTGCGAACCAAGCGATATTTGCAGTGGTAATTTGCAGTGGTAACCTTGTACCAGTGCGCCATTTCCGTTCTTTGATGTTCAAAGGTCGCCCATAAATACAATCTTAGTTGTTTAGCTGTGTAATGTAAAGTGAAATCTATTGATCCAGTGAATCAGATTTAGAATAGTCAAGAGCTGACTAAGAGTATTACTCGTCCTTATTTTCATCTCCATAGTAGGAATAGAATTGATCCAATTCAAACACATTTTCCACGCTTCCCAAGAACACTGGTGTTCGCTGATGAATTTCAGTCGCTTTGAGGGCTAGCACTCGACCAGTCCCTGTGGATCCAGCTCCACCAGCCTGCTCCATAATCATGGCCATGGGAGCGCACTCGTACAATAAGCGTAGCTTGCCGTCAGGATTTTTGCGCGTTCCAGGATAACCATAGAGACCTCCATTGATTAGAATGTTGTGAACATCTGCGACTAGGGCGCCAATGTACCGAGCTGTTGATCTGTATTGACAAAATAGATACAATTCAACATGAGTCGTATATCACAGTATGAGACAAATCCAAACTGGAAAACTTACGATCCTTGCTTAACCGAATCCAGGTATCGTTGCACTGGTTCCTCAAAGTCGCGGTAATTGGCTTCGTTGAAACTGTAGATGGATCCTTTTCTTGGGATTCGAATGTCATTTAGTGTGTGAAGGAATCTTCCGCTATCTGGATCCAGTGTGAATCCATCCACACCAGCCCCCATTGTCAACACTAAAACTGTGCTCGCACTGAAAAAAAGCGATCAGGAAAAGTTGAATCGACCGCAAAAGAAACACAATATGAACTCACGAGAATAGACAATACCCAGCTGCTACCATTCCAGTGCCATCTTGATAGAAAGTTGATGTATCAACTTTAGATCCCGGCTGTTTCTTGTAGATAGCAAAGATACTCCCCAAAGGCAAGGATGAATCAATGTTCTTGGATCCGTCTATGGGGTCGAACGCGGCAATGTAATCTCCCACTGCAAATGCCGAATCCGCCATGACATCGGCACAAGATTTTGCTTCATCCTCTTCTTCCGAGACCACCATTTGTATACAATTCCCACTGCCACAAAATGCCCTCAACATGAACTTGTTACACAGAACATCCAGAGTCTGCTGCACTTCACCTTGCACATTCTCTTCCAGCTGGGCTCCATCCTTATCGGTTGCTGCTCCAAACAGGTCGTCTGTCTGAGCACGCTGAATGATTCGATTGATTTGCTTGCAGGATTCAGCCACAGCTTGAAGCACAGGTTCAAGGTCACGAATATTTGATTGCTTCCAACATTCAATCTCCAAGTATCGTTGAAAGGTCTTTAGCTTCTTCTTTTTAGATGGTAATGCATGTAGAAGTGTGTTGCCACGAATCTGAATCTCATCTCGTATTGGACTCGATCGGATTTTTCTATTCCAGTTTTGTGGACCAAAGCCTGAGGTAGATACTACTGCTAGACATAATATAAGCAAGAATGTGGATAACTGTTGCTTCAAGGTGCACATCGTCTTCAAAGGTTGATGACGGTGCATTATAATATTGTTTGTTTGTTTGATGGTTTTAGATATCAAGTCGACATCGGACAGACGTTGAGGCGACATACGGTGGGACAGACGAGCGAGACGGTTCGACCTCAGATTTTATTCAGCTCAAGCTTCAAGCTTCAGGCTTCGTAATGATCAAAATGATGATTCAAAACGACGACAGCAGGAGTTTCTAGCTAGCAAAGCTAGTCCATTGGTATGAATTAAAATGTGGGATGACGCTCTGTGGGATAGTTACTCTTCTCTGAATCAGGAGGACTTTTCCGACAGTGACAGCACTCCAGATGAAGATGAGGATGAGAGCAAAAGCAAAAGGGCAGAAATATTTTCAAGACAAGTTCCACCAAATGCCTCTGATCCCGAAAGTGCCGACTCCTTGATTGCATCTCGAATGTCGAAGTTGTCAGTCGCTGATCGAGAGAAGGTCTACATGGACGTCCATGGGATACCAGACGACTGTGTAGAGGAAACTCCAGAACTAATTCAAAACGGTTTGTGGGGATTGCAGCACGAGCTCGATGTTCTGCCAGACAAGCAAGCGTACAACATTGCGGAAAGACTGGGCCCAGCATATACCCGGGATAGAGATTTTCGGCTTGCTTTCCTTCGATGCGAGAAGTTTGATTGTCACAAGGCAGCGCTTCGGTTTATCCGTCACTTTCAAATGAAACTGGACTTGTTTGGTCAGGATAAACTTGTGAAGGACATTACTCAGGATGATTTGAACATGGATGACATGGAAATTCTCTATATTGCTAATGGAAGATTCTTGAACTCGTATGATAAGAGGGGAAGAGTCATCAATGTTAATGTCATGGTGCAGAAAACGTACAAGACTGACACCGTTGTAAGTTCAGAAGTCTGGAAGTCTAGGTTCGATATGCGACGATGATCTGAGGTCTCAATCCAATCGTTTGTAGCTTCGCAAGGGCTTTTATAACTTCATGACAACATGCCGTGATGTGGAGATACAACGGCGTGGCTTTGTAAATGTCAGTATCCAGTTTGGAGATGAAATTAAGGGCACGAGTGCGGATAATGCTGACCTTGTTTGGAAGTTGCCAAAACTAAATGAAGGAGTTCCCTTATGCGTCTCAGCTATACATTTATGCTACACTACGGAAGCATGGTTAGGAATGCATGCAATGATCAAGACTGCACTCAGCAAAGCAAACCAAGTTAGATGTAGAGTGCATACTGGTACGTGATTTGGTCTCTATCTTTACGAGCCTAGTACTCGTGGCCGAATTGATTCAAATCCTGGCTTACTTGGTCGTTTTCATAGGCACGATCCCCGAATGCTTAGAAGAATTACGTGGACATGGAATCGACCCATCTTGTATACCGGTGAACGCCAAAGGGGAGATTACTGACCTTGTCAAAGAGCGTCAGAGAATAGAACAACAACGACGGCAAGAGCGCTTGAAATATCCTACTCCTAGCACAATTGCTGTTCCATTTTGCGAGGATGTTTTGTTAGGCAAGGGTACCCCGTTTCAGATCCACCATGGCAACAAAAAACTGCGACTGTTTGTAGCAGATCGGTTCAAGAAGTATGAAAGGGCGCAAAAAGGGGCAAAGAAAGCTATTGCTTATGAAATCATTGATGCCGTTAGGAGCAATGGAGGTCTATTTCTAAAGCAAGATGGCAACAGGTGGGTTCCAGCCACCGATGATGTGGCGCTATTGAAAGTCAGCGCTCTTTTTCGATATTTGCGGTTGAAGAGTGGAACAAACTAGTGGCTATTCTGCCGAATTCGGTACACGACCTACACTGCAGGTCGATATTTGTTCATACGCCACGCATATTGCCATTGGAACAGCAAAGTGTACTCGAACACGGAGATGTGCGTGCTAGTGTTGCGTGCTAGTGGCATCATTATACGCAGACAAACAGATTTTATAGTCGCCACCACCAGCATCCAAGCTTGTGAAACCCACAGATTCTGGACGATGAAAAAGCATGAAAAGGTATATATATCAAGGTTGAAATAAGCAGCAAGTACGAGTTCCAAGGAAGAGCGAACAAAAACTCTCGCAATGGCTCGCTCGAAAAGCCCATTTCCCTATAGGCTGTCGCTGCTCTCAAACGACTACTGGCAGAAGAGATGAGAATGCATTGCATCAATTGCGAATTCCAGTGGTGGGCTGGAAGATAAAGTCCTGGGTTCCGCAGACTGGTGAGCAGAAAGATCCCAACTCCAGGAAAATGAGAAAGTCGTAGAGCTCAATACCCAAGCTCATAATTCCGGCATGCACAGATTCTGGCTGACGAGAGATGCAATAGGTGGCTTGGAATAAGCGAGTAAGCAAGAGCGTGAGAAGTAACAGAAAAAGTCTCACAACAACTGAAAATCCTGTTCCTTGGCAGAACTTCATAACAAATGCTACCAAAAAATAGTCTTCGATCATGAGACTGCGTTAAATACCGCGTGAAAATGGCGCGTCAAATCAGTAACCTATCCGAACTACATTCCGCAAAGAGAATTATTGTTGTCACTGCTGTCTGCCAGAAACCACATCACCGCTTCTGCTGGAAATATGAAAATCAGAAGGCAGCTTCAAAGGGGAGGAAGACTATATTGTTTCTATTACAATCTGAGCATGACATAAAATAAATTTCCAACAAAATGAATACCATCATAAACAAACAACAAGGCCAGGTGATTGTATTTGTGCTCTCGTCTGAAGACGAAGCAGTTCCAAAGAAAGTAAACCAAGTCACGATTGCCAAAATGAGGGCAGTCCCAGATAAAGCTCTCTATCGCTGCCAACAACTCGTTCAGGCAGAACTGGCAGAAGGCATTGAACAGATCGGAGACGCCGCTTTCAGCTGGTGTTCTGCTCTCACCAATGTATCTGTCCCGCCCACTGTAAACATTATTGGGACGTGGGCTTTCGCATACTGTTCTTCGCTCCAGTTCTTGGATCTAGCATATGGTCTCAAAGAAATTGGAGACCAAGCACTTCGAGGCTGCAAGTCCTTAAAGAAGCTCGTTGTCCCATCCACTTGTGCGCGGATTGGCAAAGAAGCTCTTGCACACTGTCCTGAATTGACCTCGGTGGAACTTGCTGAAGGTCTGAGGGAGATTGGTGACAATGCGTTCGTTGGATGTTGTAACTTGAAGAATGTTGCCCTTCCAACTACCCTCAGCAAAATCGGAAAGGATGCTTTCCACAAGTGGATGCTGCGCTTCCGACGAATGAGTCGGGAGGCGACGGACACTAGGCTTCTTGACGCCCTAAAGGGCAGATTTATTGAGCTTCCCATTCATAATATTTGCTATTTCCAAGCGCACCACCTGACAGACACCACGGAAGTACGCTTGCAGCAAGCCATTCAGAAGAATCATTTTACTGGTTTCGAAGCCGATGAATTTGGCATGACTCCCCTGCATATTCTTGCCATCTCAGCCAAACCAAACATCCGTCTCTTCAGGCTAATGTTGAAGGAGTATCCCGAGAATCTTGTGGTTAAAGACCGATGGGGGAACTTTCCGGTGCATTACGCCTGTGATTCCTACGCTCCTACCGAGATAATTCAGCTTCTCCTCGACAAACACACCTGTGTCGCTACAAAGGCATCCATGGATTGGAAACGTCTGATGATGCTCTCGTACGAGAACTGTTCTGAAGAGGCAACTAGATGTGTTGTCCGCTCAAGCATTGCCGATCGCATGTCCTTCTTAGGTTTGCAGCTCTGGAAAGATGACATCCACAGCATTGTAAACGAGATTTCAGAAGGAATCAGCTTCGTTGAATTCCGAAGAATAACTGAGAGGATTCAGTCTACCTTGGAGTCTTATGAACTAAAGGAAAAGCTGTCACAATTGGAGTTGGCGCTTTGGGAAGCACAGCTACAGAGAGACTCTCCAGTTCTGAAAAGAGATGCTAACCATCGAAGTGACTGCCGTATTGTTTGTGGCGTCGCTATTGTTGTACCATACGTTTTGTCCTTTCTTGGTGACGAGCTTCGCATGGGAAGCAGGAGAGAGGATTAATATGCATCATTCTACATACCATCAAACTACTGCAAAACTGTTCGATTCTTACGAGACACGCTCATGAGGAAGCTAGATGTCGATATAATGTGTTCACAGCAACAAGACCAATGACCGCCATCACCAGCAAGGGCAAGAAGGTTACCGTCACGAAGTCAACAAATATATGGCGGTCAAGCAATGCACTGCATGTGATGATAACATCAGCAAAAACCCTTCCCAAAGTCCCTACCAACGTTGTAAGCAATCCAGCGTTAAGGAAGCTGCTATTGAGTTTGGCTGGAGTGACTTTGGCCATTATGGAAGTATCGACGCCTTCCATCACAATCGTGCCGATAAAAATAGCTGATAGGAACGTAATGTAAATGTAGGGACCAGCATCGAATTCATAACGAAACTCCCCTTTTTTTGTGAGCAATTGAGAGATATCTTCGTTTCCAATTTTTGTGTCAAAAATCGTTGAGTTTGACATGCCTCTGTGCGAAACTTCATAACCGCCGACAATGTCATAGTACACCGCCGTCCAGTTGAAGATTCCACAGAAGCACAGGCAAACGAAAAGCAGCGAGAACTGGCAAACGTGTCAGCAATTTACGATTGGAAGCTGTCATATGTTTCGACAACAAACTTACAAACAAGATTCTTCTTTCGGAATAATAATGAGACGCCTTCTCCACCACAAAATGAGCTGGCAACACAAGGGCACCAAGGCACGCGAGCAGAAGGCCGGCTCTGTTACCATGCCACCCAAAGTATCGCCGAACGATCATGGAGCAAGAAGAAATGAGAATCTCACATGTCATCTCAATATATCCGAACAGCATAATCGTGAGAGGCAGGCCTGGGTTCTTGAATATTAACTTGGTGATAGAGACTCTCTCAGACTGAGCCAATGACGAATCTTGGGAAACAATTGAACCATATCCTTTAAGTTGCGTTGGTGTTGCGCCGTCTCCATTTTCAACTAGACGATTGTCATTCGAACTGTCCTTGTGGGAGCTGGCAATTCCACCAGAATCATTTTCGTCCTCGTTCACTCTAGCTGGTTCTCGAAACAAGAAAAGCAATGCCATCAATTCTAGGAACCACAGTACACTCATAATGTAGCCAGGACTCGTTACGTTGTTGTAGATCAAGCCTCCTGCTGGAAGAAATGGAAGAGATAAGTTGACATCAATGTCCCGACCGGAAAATGTATCCAGAATCGCGGCCAACATGGGACCAATGCTCATCCCAGCTGCATCGGAGATGACAAATAGAACGCTCGCCCTCGTCAGATTCTCAAAGCTAACGCAGCCAGAAATCAACTGCCGGTTGACAACTTCTGCCGAACCAAACCCAACAAGGAGTCGACCGACAACCGCCATTTTCATCGAATTACACGAAATAGCTACGGCATACAGAAGATTCCCGAATACGGGGCAAACAGCCGAGAATACCAGCGCTGACTTGAAGGTGGACCGTGTACACCAGTAGGAGAAAATGAAAGCGGTGAAAAGGGCAGAAACAGAACTTGCACCAATAAGCGTCGCTCCAAATGCTCCATCCAGTCCCAAGTTGATTGCGTACCGGTTTGCTGTTGGCGCAATACAATAGTAGTTTACAGTGTAGAGTAGCTTCGAAAGTAGATTCAGGATCATGCTCTTCCGGTCGACACCACCCCAATACAACTTGTTGTCCAAGTCCTCTTCCATGGTGAATGAATGGGATTCTAAGATTGTCATTTCTTCCTCAATTGTTGATAACGCTTGGCGCTGTAGCTGCGGTCTTTCTCTTGCTGGTTCTTTTTCAGAAGGAGGTGTTGGCCACCGATAGCCTGATTCCTGCAGCTCTAGCTCACTCATGTTCATGAGACCTTCTGGATCAAGTTCGACCAGCCACTTCATGGCTTCATTGCTGGCACGATCCATTCCACCAAAGTTGACTGTAGTTCCAATCATGGATGATTGTGATAGAAAGTTCATAAAGGGCTGCTGCATGATTTCTGCGTAGCGTTGGATGCTTTGTGCGCAATCAATGATATTTTTCAGTCGAACAACCTGAATTGCAACTTCATTGTCGATAGTAGGAGCCTGGAGCAGGTCAAAGTAAAATTGATTGAACTCAAGCTGCAAAGAGTTTTGAATAGCAATGATGCTTCTGGAAAGTGACAGTTGTTGAAGGTGGTTTTCTTCAATGACATATGAGTGAGTCTCATTCTTTCGTTCCATTGTTTTGTTGTATTTCTTAAGAATCTTTCTTGTGCCAATCGAATTCAGACATATGAATCTGAGCAAATGTAGGAATTCCGTGCCGACGGCAAGATGCCGATACAATTTGTGGTTGTGTATGGCTGCAGTTCTCAACAAGGCCGAGTTGCTATTTTGAAATAAGTGTGTAGATTCGAATCTTATTGCGCCAACTTCATCAGCGAGTTTTCCTTGTTGTTGCAAGGTGAACAAGGAGATCTTTTCCACCTCAAGAGTGAGCTCTCGGAAAAATGATCCCTTAAGCCACTTCAAGCGTTCAGATTTCGATAAGTTCTGATAAGTTGTTGGTGTAGAGGTCAGAGGTGCGCCTTCTACTTCCAAGAGCTGCTCATTCTCATCCATGAGAAGCGTATTCTCCGCATCATTTATGATAGCCTTCAATCGATCGTAATCGAGATATGCTGCATCCCACGAATCTCGTTTTGCTCGACGAATCTGCTTCCCAAAACCCACCATATCACGTAGGAACTATACCTCAACGCAAATTCACAAGAGATCCGATTGCCAACTGGTGCTTTCCGTTCGAGTACTTCTGCTTGGCGTTTCTTGGAGTGACTCAGGTGGGTTGTGGTGTGAAGCTGGTCTTTTGAGTTGCGCGCTCCATCATGGTTCGACCTCTCTTTTGAATCTTTTTCGCATGAAGTATTCGAATGAATCATGAACATCACCACGAAAATCGTCTATAGTTCGTCCGTAACGTCTGTCAATTGCACCAAGAGGAAGGCTGAACTCAAAAACACTCTTGCGAACTGTCAAATAATGCGGGGGTTCAGCATAAGATATCCAGATGGAGTAGTGAATGCGTAGTGAGATTGTTAGATAATGACGGAAGAGTTGGATGCACAGCTCCTACTAGAAGAATACTTATCCAGCACATTGCCTAGAGAATGGCCCAGAGTAGAATGTTGTGGATCTTCTAGGAGTTTGTATTGTCCAGAGTGCTATAGAATTTTGATTCCTCAAGAAAGTTGGCCGTGTGACATAAGGGAAATGAAGTTTCCATTTCACATCGATATTGTCCTTGGCAAGAAGGAAAGGAAAACATGTGCCACGGGTGTGCAGGTTGCAGCTATAGCAGGTGCTTTGGAATCAGTGCAGGATAGTCGAGCTGGGCCGGCTCTAACTGGTGCGAATCCTTTGGAATCAAACTCAATGGAGACGGTGAAGCTGTTCAGCTTTGAAGACAACAATATTCCAACGTACGACCCCGAAAGTTTCCCAAATACGTATGTGCTTTTTCCAGAAGAAGGATCTGCTTCGATCACTAGTGTTGGACAAATTGATCGTTTGATTGTTTTGGACATAAAGTGGTCGAAGCAGAGTGGAAGTACTGATTCGAGGTTTCGCTCCTTCCCTCGCGTGCATCTAGATTCGCCGCCGGATCGAAGTCACTTCTGGCGTTGGCATTCAGAGGGTGCCGGGATGCTCTCTACCATTGAAGCTATATACTTCGCAGCAATGGAGACCACACTGGGGCGGAAAGATTGGAATTTGTCTGATCGAAGGAGATTGATCAACATTATGTGGCTGTTCGCAACCCAATACGCTATTGTCAAGAGAAAAAGTGAAATAGAGGATCGCACTGTCCCTTTCTCAGAAGACGCAAAATTGGAAAGAAGACTCCTGCGACAGCTCCATCCTAGCCATCCGTCTCGAAAGGTGATTCTGCCATGATGTGCGAGAGTCTACTAAAAACCATAGTCTGCTGTGGGAGTTTAACTTGTACGCTCAGAACAATGCGCGAGGAAGGACGATCAAACCCAATCGTACAGGTGATTGAAATCACAATCAACCACTTTGAAATCATTCGATACGATTTTTTTCGTTTTCCAATGGATATTGGATAGTAGGCTACATTTGGTCTTCTTATCGCTTCGGCTACGGTATTACATTTCAGCCTCTTCCCGTTGTCGGGCACTCGATTTCTTGTACATAGAGTACCGATTTCTTGTACATAGAGTACCGGTATGGTAACGGTACTGTAGTATGGAATGAAAAGCTACAATAATCTGAGCGGGAGATAGACAAAGAAGCTACAAAAGCGTCAACTATAGTTCGAATGATGTTTTTAATGTGCTATTTTTTAAGAGGTCGGATTGGTCAATTACCCATGTCTTAATGTGTGTCGCACTCCTTTGCAGGGAGAGCCCGGCTCGGTCACTTTTTCTCAACATCACATCATCGACAAACGGACAGCTGGAGCTGGTAGCCCCTTGTTCATCCTTTCCAACATGGAGTGGATAAAGTGTCACAATCGCCATCTAATAGATGCTACTCCACTGTCATCGATAGTTTATTGCAGTATCCTATCGACTGCTTTTGTTGGTTCTCTCTATGTTTTGGTTCCAGCGAAGGTTCGAGCTTTGGATCGAGATCATCCAATTCATATTCAACGACGAGCCTTGGCAACGCTGATAGTTTGTGGAGGAGCGATTTTAAGTTACCCGTGGCTCTTTTGCAGCAAACAAGGCCAGTCTCAAGAACAGTCGCTAGGCTCGATTCCTTCAGAATTCTCATTTTGGAAGCTGATATTTCTGCCATCCTACAGTTTGAGTGTTTTGTTGCACACGGCAATACTCTATACAGGATCTTTTGTGGCCACCTTATTGAAAGTCTACGAACATCGCCTGAAATCAGCTGCTCAGGGCAAACCCACCAAGCCTTATCTAAACGATGTTGTACAATGGATTCGACAAATCAGTCTTCAACAATTTCTGGGCCCGGTTCATAGTACGGGACAGAAATGGATCAACTTGCGGAATTATGTAATTGCTCCATGGACAGAAGAAGTTATATTTCGGGGATGTATGGTTCCTCGTTTGTTGGCGTGTGGCATGTCCAACAATGCAGCCTCGTGGACAGCGCCAATGTTCTTTGGATTTGCCCATGTTCACCACGCATTTATGCGATGGAAAAGGGGCGAAAACAAGATGTCAATGATTGCCCTTCAAACGGCTTTCCAATTTACATATACATCTCTATTCGGGAGCTATGTCTCGTATGCTTTGATACGAACTGGATCTGTGCCAGCCGTGACTCTGAGCCATGCATTCTGCAACTTTATGGGACTTCCTGATTTCTCTTTTTTTCAACAGACCCACGTCCTCTACAATCACCGTTCGACATTGGTGGCTGCTTATTTGGCTGGTATTTTGGGCTTTGTTAGCTTGTTTTACAGTGACAAGTTGCTCCCGCTGCCACCGCGTTTGGTCGTTTAGTTTAATGTATGTGGTAAGCTGTGATCGGGGTTGCCTTTTCCTCTTGCCACCACGTTTGGTCGTTAAATGTGGCAGGAGGCAAGGGCATGATATCAATAAGATTTCATTACTTGACATTAGATCCAGTCTCGCGAGATGTACCTAGCCTATGTTGCCAATGAGATAGAAACTTTGTAAAACCACTGTTCAGTTTGAGTATTCTGATACCTATTGATCCATCTACGGGTCTTTGTGAAGTACTGCAGATGTACTTCGTAGCGTCTCAAAACAGTCCATCTAGCAATATGGCTTCAAGGAAGGTCTCCCTGCTTTAGCAACACGGTATTGGGTTGATCTTTTTTATGCCTCCAACGAGAAAAGTAATGGTAGCTAGGCGTTGTGGATCACGTTACCATACAGTGCAACGAAAGGCACGAAATAGCCCAGCAGCATACTGCTCCTGTGATTCAATAACAAGATTTCCCTTGGTGGATTGCTGAATCATGAATTCGACATCTTGATTGTAGACACAACCCTTCCCGCCCATCTCTGCGGCAGCGCTCGAAGTGGCATCCTGATATCGAGCAAGGAAGGGGTTCGACGATCGACTATTCTCCAGCAATAATACTTGCCCTGTTAGTCATTTGGCCCCGATTATCAATGAATCGAAAGATGCAAGTGAAGAGTGAGAAAGGTCAAGTTGAGTGCAACAATGCATTCGTTTCTTCGGTAGATTGATTCCTCCAGGTATCCGCACCACGAGCTATCGGTGATGCCATCGTCCGTTCGTATTGTTCCTGTAATACTTACCCCCTTGTTCCTTAGACTTTACTACCTGTGATAGTTGGCTCAAGCATTTCTCGGCTCCGTCATTACCCATGGTACACAGCGAGAAGCTATCGACAACAGTGTCAAAGGACAGAGCTCCAAATTTCGAGACCAACTCAGAGGTTGCGTCCGCTTGGACAAATGAAATAAAGCTTTCACTACTTGTAGCTATCGTCATGTTCTTCCATCGTTGTTCGGCCATGGACAACATGCCTGGGGAAATATCCAGCAATGTCAGAGATTCAATCTTTGAAAGATCGTACTTGCCCAAGTTTAGACCGGTCCCCGCTCCAATTTCTAGCACCTTCCCCTTCGCTTGCTTGAATAAGTCTGTTCGTGCTTGATCGATACCCAACATGGTCGATGCTGATCCTCCATCCAAGGAATCATAGTTGCTGGCATAGGAGTCATAGGCCTTGGAGGCTTCGGATGCTGACAGGGCTGTGGCCGGGGATGGAAGGCAGAAAAGGAATATACCTCCTGCTGTCACTGATTGCGACAGAATCTTTCTTCTCGAAATGTCGCCGCTGTGTCGTTCGGAGGGACTTTCGATCATGTCGGAACTCTTGGAAGCCATCGCCATCGCCATCATCGGTCGGTGTGGAAGTTTCTGTATTTGATGTTGGGGACGATGATTTCTTAGATGAACGGGAGTTGTCGATTCATGAAACGAATGAACAGAACATGATAGTAACAAAATCAATAGAACGAAGGTCATCGAAATCCTAAATGGATGCATTAATATGTAGTATGAACGAATGGATGCCGACGAGGTTATTGATGAGATGTGATTGCGCGGTAAAAATATTTGATGTGCGACACGCAACCACTTTCCGCGCATTCATTAAAAAAAGCTGCGCGCACAGCGGACGGACGTCCAAAACACGAATGAATGAATCCTTCTCCGGATATAAAAAATATACAGTACATTATGATTATATACTATCTAAGATAGCCTACTGCCGTCCTCCGTGTGTGTGTTCGTAGTATTTTGTCTTGGTGTGTAGCTGGTGGGTTGTGGTGTGAAGCGGGTCGAACTGATCGAGTAATAGACTCGATTCGTTCGACCAATCTCAGAAATCCCGTGTGCGGTATTACTGAGATCTGCTTTCCTACCAGGCACCGCCGATATGGTAAAATGGAGGCGGTGCCCAACAGGGCGGGTGAGGTTTGGGAGAGAAAAATTGAATTACCACGACACAAGTGGGTGAATTCAATCTCAGTCGATAAACTGGGCATCATTGCCTCGGCGCATCGACAACAACTTTTGACGGTCGAAGGCCGTTCGGCCTTTGTCCGTCTGTAACACAATGTAGTCAAAGGGATCGAACAGTGTGCCTGCGGTCTACGTTGGAATATTACCGGTAGGGTCATCATTTTTTTATGCTTCAGAAACTCAGCACAGAAGCACGTTTCTGACAATATTGTATTTTATCATCCCTTGTAACCATGAGATTCTTGCGACCAAAGGGAGCTGTCAAAGATATCAAAGAGTTAGTTTTTGGTTGCTCTACATCAGACCACTCATGACGAAGCAGAAAGCTTCATGGATGGATCAGTAGACGGTACGAAAAAGATACTGCTTCGGGCTGCCTTCACTGCGGGTCATAATTTCTAATACTCACTATATGTTGTTCTGCATTTTCCAGCCAAGGATGTTCGCGCCTTTCTCTTGTCTCGCTATGGAATCGAGCTCACCAAAGATCAGGTCCGGACTGTGATCTTCAGGGGACTTGCAGGAGGAGAAGGTGAAGATGATGCCATTGATATTCTGGAAATCGTCGCCATCTTGATGATTCCCATGCTTGTCAAAGTATCTGATGAGCTTCTAGGGAGTAGGCCAGGAGGCGCCCGAATGTCGTCCATTGATGAAGCCAAAAAGCGTCTCTTGCCGCCAGCGACCATCATTGAGGACGTTTTGCGAGACATTCTTCGTGACACCACTGGTGGGGACTATGATGTAGAGCATCCACCACCATTGACACCTGCGTTAATGAGACAAATCTTTTTGGAATATGATGAGTTGGAGCTGGTTCGTGATGATGATCTGATTCAGCAAATGATCGACATGGTGTCAGAATCATCCAAAAGCGATAAATTGAAGGATGGCGACGAAGCATCTTCATCGCCAGTTCTCGATTCGAAAACGTTTGCAGGCGCATTGACAAAAGACACAAATCTATACAATCCTGAAACTGAAACTCGCTACTCAGAGGTGCTCGACGATGTTTTCCCAGATGGATTTGAGGAAGACGTAACAAATATCAAGAATACAGAAGAATCTGCCAACGGCCCCCCTTCACTCGTTGGGGAAACCTTTCGAACAGTCACTACATTTTCACACATGGATTATACCGCTGACAATTTCGTCCATGTGATTCACGTGGTCTTGGTTTGGCTGGTTGTCGTATTTTCATACTTCTGGTACATGAATGGGGTCGGGACTCCTGAATTCCTTGTGGACAGTTCCGACAATTTTGGACGCCGTGTTGGGTTTGCTGTCTTTCGGTGGACACTTACAATGTTGAAGCTTGTGTAAGTTCTCAAGTTGGTTGAAAATTGTAGTATTATATGATCCTACACTTCAAACCAGTCTCACATTCGATCGTGTCATAACAGAATTGTCGGGTCGGGAGTCAGTTTTCTGCTGGCGCTAGGGAATGGAGTATTCCAAAAGTCTATTGTGGAGCCTATCGTCGGCCTTGCCTCCGTTGCAGTTTTGGTATTCCTGCCGTACTATTTTCCAGAGAAAAACTTTGTGTTCAATACAGCTCTCGAAGAACCCTCACATGAACACTACACCTACAGCGAGTTGCTTAACATGATGATTGTCTTCGGAGTCCTATTAATCATTATCCAACTGAAAAACTTGATGACTATTTTCTTTGGCAAGGGCGATTACTTGAAAAAGAATCCTGCTTTTGTTTTCATGGAGAATGTTCTTGGGAGTAATATCAACCGAGCGTATCGTAGCAAACAAGCAGCTGTTTACAAGATCAATGAAATGGCTCGCAGTGCGTATGATTTGCATCAGTTGGACGAAAAGGCAGCAGGTATCACTAAACTCAAGCGGGAAGTCAGCATCCAAGAAAGTGGCAGTCAAACCCCCATATCAAATTCGAAAGTGGGAAACGAAGGCAACCGCCAACAGACTGGACCTGGTGGCAGATCAAGTCGTGAAATAGCATTGCAGAAGTACAATGACCTCGTTGATGAATCTGAAGAAGTGGGGGGCATAATCTGGGCTTGGAAGGGTTACATCTCTGGTAATCTGGGGGTCACTGAAGGAGTCTGGTTACCATCACGGCTGATTGCTGCGAATGCGATTCTCTTTGTTACAATAGTTGTCGTCTTGTACATTTGCACAATCATTTTCACCGGCTTTATCTGGGAACTTGAGGATCTCTACAATACAGTTGCGCTGAAGGAAGTCATTTACAACGAACAGTGCTTCACAGAGTTTGACTACAATGACTGCTACTTTCCCTTTGAAGAGGCTTCATTCTACAGCGGTGTTGCAGTTTGTCGAGATGTATCATTATCCGGCCCAGGGTGCATGGACCTCTTTGAGGAAGTCACGCCGGAAAGCACGTTTGGATCTGCTATCGGAAACATCTGTGACTCGTTCAATGCCGCTTTTGCGCCATTTGAGCTGCAAGTTGGAGATCTATTAGGAGGTGCCTCGTGTCCCTATGTTTTGGATGCAGCCAAACAATCCGTAATCGAAATATTGGCCGAATTCAATTATTCTCCAAACGATGCCGAGATGCTCTACAACGCGTGCTACCGCATTAATTACATGGAAGATGAGGATATCTCCAAGTTCAACGAATGGTTTGACGATGACACATGGTACCCAGACATTACTGATGAGACCCTTACTGGCTGCGATATAGTTTCATCGATTGTGAGTAACGAGACTTTCGTCAATAGCTTCACGGGACGTGAAGAAGCTGCATACGTATCATTCCAGATATGCATGGCAATCTACAAGTCTTTGACTCCCAGGCCATTCTGTGAACAGCCTTTGTACGATCATATCGAGAGCATCATCACATATGAAAGGAATCGCACCGATACCGAGTTTTGCTACTCTTATTTAAGTTATTGTGTAGCAGACCCATACAATCCGTCTCGAGGCACATGCGTCATCGGAGAAGCCGATCAGAAGTACGTAAAACAAGAAAGAGCGATTCATTTAGAGTGATGCAATGTATGCCTAACGCTTGACGTGTTTAAATCATTTTTCACAGGTACTATCGATTCGAAGGAAGCACCTGCGATGAATACCCAAGTATTTTAACAATACTATGAACTTCTACAGGGAATTTGTCGAGCCAAACGAGCGGACATTCTTGAATCTATTCCCAGCGCCTTGGTTGTAAGTGCAAAATAAATGTGTTGGTGCTGAAAGTGTAGAAGCAATCTGACGGATCTTTTTCGTCTGCAGGTTGACTCTGACGGCTGCTATGGGTATTATCGGAGGACTGATTGCAGCTCTTGCGACGACCTTGGTGTACATTCCCTCTTCCATCCACACAATCTTGAAATTCAGAAGTGGTGTCATCGCATCTTTAAAGGACCCAAAATTCATTGATTATAGGAAGAATCTGCACAATCAGACCTACCTGATTGGTTCGATGTTTTGGGTATGTCCATGTTGACTTCGATTTTGGTACGAGAACCGCTACTAACTCGTGTTTTGTATAGGGGTTGATAATTTCCACAGCTATTGTGACTTTCTTGACCGCGGGAATCACCTTTCTGCTCGTATGGCCCACAACCCGTCCTATTGTTGTGGAAATTGCTACACAAGCTATCGGTATTATAATCACAGTTCTTGTGAAGGTCGTAGTGTGCTTCGTGGCAATGCGAAGTGCCTATTCTGGATTCTATCGAAGCAAACCGATGTTTGCAAATGTTTTCAACGTCGCGCTTGAGTGCTGGGCCTTAGCGTTGACTTTGGCATTAGTAGCAGGTCGCCTCGTCAAGTTCCTGGTTATTACAAGTTTCTATGTGGGAAGAATCGACCGGCCAGTTCTTGCAGATGGGCTTTTCTTGCAGGTCGATATGTTGCCATTGGTCTTCCGGCAGAACCTTCTGTCAACTGAATCCCATCGTCGCCCCTACATCGAAATGCTAGGTCAGATGTACTTAATGAAACTTCGCCACAGAGAGAACTTTGGTTCCAAGGCTGGTTCCATCTGGAGACTGTTGTTTGTTTCGGCATTGATGCCGTGGTTGAAGAAGAAACGCATCCAGGACAACAACATCAAACTTGAAACATTGAGATCCTTCGTGGAAAATCAAGGATCCTCAAAACGAATTCAAGATGCTAGTGTAGAAGTCCAATATACCATGCCAGCACACAAAGAGAATGCCGATGAAGCCACGGAGCCCGCGTGAGGAATCCAACAAGAGGTTAAAATTAGAAAAAATATTTTGGTATAATCTTAGTCTTGTGGCTCCTTTGCTTCCTCTGCTTCTTTGTTCGTGTAAGCAGTGTCTTGGACTGTTTGATACCATGACGGCCGATGGGGAGTCATCAATCGATAATCGTAATAGATTTCTTCATTGCAGACATCCCTTGTCGTTACCAAACACATTCCGTGCATATCTACCACGTCCTGCTCCCAAAGACTGCCCAATAAGGTCAAGTTTCGAGGCTTGGCATACTTGTTTGGAACATAGGACTCCAAGTTCAAGGATTTCAGGTTCATAGCCGAGGTAAAGTTGACCATAACTGACCGGCAATTGGGCGGATGAGCTGGGGTAGGATGGTTGATAATGTGCCCCACTGCCCAGGGGTTGGTCAAGACAGTGTAAGGAGATTGTCGTGAGTCAATCATAAAATCATCAGGCCTGAGTGACATTTGGTAGTTATCATTCTTTTCCAACTGCCGTTCTTCTTCAATTGGAAGGGCCACCAAGTGCTCCTTAGACCAGACCACTCCAGGTTGAAAGGCTACTATGGATCCAGCAGGACAAAAACCATCAACATAAACACCTCGCCCAGCGCCAGGAAGGGACGACTGCAGTGCGACAATACCATATCCATAGGCTGCTTTCAGCTGCGCCGATCGGCACATGTTGTAGGCTTGGAAAAGTCGAATTTGTTGATTTTGCTCTTGGTCAATAGTTTCGTGGTACCCAAACGCATCGGCATCAACCCAAGCGACCCCATCTTCTGAGCTTGCTACAGCTTTGTCCTGTGATATCTGGTCGGTTTCTTCATTCGAATTGCCCTGTTGTTTCTCCATCAATGTTTCAATCGCTTTGCGCTTTAGCGCTAAGAAAATCTTGGGATCGGCTCCCTTTTCAGCTCTGTTCGGCGTTGGGTTGGCCAATTGATCCACGGCATTTTCCAATTCCAGGACTAGAACTGGATTGTAGCCCGAGGTATCAGCACTGGAAACGGGCTCTTCCTTTTCCAGGGCGACATTTGGATTGGGCAAACTCTGGTCCACTTCCGCAAAGTGCTGGAAAATTTCCACAATCTGATCTTCCAAACCTGCTTGCAGTGTTTGCCGCAGTTGCAAAGTGGTTTTGGAATCCAAATCCTCCTTTTCCAACTCACTAAAGGCCATATCAATAATCTTTTCTCGGTCGATCTTTTCTTGGCAATCATCATCACAAGCTCCAGCACCCATAAGACTAGTACTAGCTAATCCCCCTTGTTCCAGCCACAATCGACGAAAGGTCAGAGCCAACAAGACCAATGTGGCATCCTTGCGTTCTTGCAGTTGCCGAGGATCATTGGAATCTCCAGTGCCTCGTGTTTTGGAAGATGACATGATTCCCGATGTATTGGCACCACCACTTCCACCACCACTAGAAAAGGGATTCCACCAATTCTGTTGAGGGGAGGTGGTATGAAAACTTCGACGACTTTCTGAGAATTGTCTAATAGTTGGTACGGATGCATTATCGGGCATCAGGGCTGATACTGCTGTTGCACAAGTGCTTCTACAAGCTGGTATCGTAGCATTCCCATTACCATGGAGAGAAGGTGAGGCCCGTCTCCAATGGGAACCTACTCGCCGTCGAACTAGAGAAGAAATCATTTGATGCTTTCAATGGCAGCTTCAACAAACCATCAAGACAATATTCAAATATGTGCGGTTGTGTGATGGAGTTGAAAAATCGTTTGGAGGAACGGTGATAATGAGATGTTGGTGGATCTCACGTCGCTATACTCGACCAAAACCACGAACATCACTCACATATAGCGGTACAGTACTACTTTGCATATCTTGCTTGTCTCTCATGCGATCGCACTTTACCTTTCGCTATCGCACTAGTAGCAGCCTAAGTTTCTCATCATGACAGCATCATTTGGTGAAACGGGAGATGACGTAGTTACAGTCGACCCATTCGCACAACCACAAAATGCCACATATCAGAGCGAAAATGAAAGCCACGACCAAGTCAAGAAAGAGAAGAGAGTTTCGTTTCTGACCTTGGGAGACGGTGACTTTACATACTCGCTGGATTTAGCTCGATATTTGGCGTCTACCAAGGACGATCTGAAATATGTTCTCACGGCGACTGGAGTCGATACTCGTGAAGAACTCATATCAAAGTACAAGGACACTCCATTTGTTCTGAAACAACTTGCAAATGCTGCTTCTGCATCACCATCAGACTCAGGTTCAGAAAAGGATAACAAATTGACTGTAGACATTCGACATGGAATCAACGCCATTGCGATGCCAAAGATCTTGGTCGAAAGGAACGACAAGGTTAAGCATCATCATGACAATGGCTCCGACAACAACAACACTTCCAATAGTCCCATCCCGCCGAAGTCACCTGAATCACAATCACCATCATCAAACACCACCATAGGCCCATTGGCTATGAAATCTGCCGACCATGTGATGTTTCATCACCCACACTTGGCAACCGAAGATGCTGTCTTGCACAGAAAATTCCTATGCCACCTCTTCCATACAGTGAATCGCATTTGGCTCACGCCTTCTGCAAAATCATCTGGTTCCACCGGTGATGATGAGGAAAAAATGGGACATGGCAATCCGTGCTTCTTTCATTTGACTCTAGTCAAGGGACAAGCTGAACGATGGAAGTGTGTGGAAACAGCTCAAAACCAAGGATTTGATTTGGTTTGGAGAGGTCCCTTTGTCCCACCACCTCCATCAATATCTCTTGATGCCGAAAACACGGGAGAAGGACCCCTTACCACATACCAATTGCGGCGGCATCAAACAGGAAAATCATTTGCTTCTCGAAGACCAGAATGGCAAAGTGAAAGTCTTGTCTTTGCGAGGCAAGGAATGAAGAAGATGAGTCAAAAAGGAGCGCCAATCCTACCATGGGACGTGTCCAAACCTAGCGATATGCCCAACGCAGTCGAATTGAACCTTGCATGTAGCAGTGACAAGAGCAATAATAAAAAACTACAAAAAGGATCACTATTGGCGTGCCCACACTGTGAAAAGGTCTTTCGGGAAGAACGATCCCTCAAGTCTCATTTGAAAGCCAAACATACGGCACTGCTTCCACCAGAAGAAAGGAATCACGGAAAGTGCAAGAAGAAGAAACGGAAACTAGCTGTCGTATCATCCGAATCATCGTCGACGGCCATGGGCACCGCAGATGCTTGGCAGTGTCCTCACCAGTGTAGGGGAATGGATGGTGAGGTTCGTACATTTTGCAGCCAAGAAGCCTTGCAAAGCCACATTGTTGCCAAGCATGCAGGTATTCATCAGTCTATCTCTCCAGACTGGAAACAACCAGCGGAGGCACAATCCGAAGGAAAACAAGATCCTCTGAGGAATCAACACGAAGGCACGGACAACCCGTCGGTCGCTACTGAACCAGAAGTATCAATCAAAGTGTCAAAAGAGATAGAGATACATGGTCATTGCAAAGTTTGTGGATGGCGCTTCGAAACAAAAGCCCAAGCACTGAAACACATTGATGATTTTACCCCTCCTTCTACAGCGCTATCCTTCCCATGTCGCTTTTGCGATAAAGTGTTTCGAGAGAATCGAGCTCAGCTACAACACGAGAACTTTTGCGTCCACCGAAATCCAAAGCACAAGGACGTTGTGACAAAAACAGCTACACTTGGATATTAGAAATTTATATGCAATACAACAGACTAGTACATAATCATCTGACACAAGTTGCATTTTCCACAAGGCAATAATTACAAAAACAAGTTCATCGTCCAACTACATAGGGCTGGTAGCGGTATCAGTACAGTAGATGATACAAACATTTATGTCGCAACACAGGAAGTATGCATTGACGTAGCATGGCGTAGCATGACTGAGAGAAACCAATGGCATCATTTCTCAATCAGTGAAAGGTGGGTCCGAAAGAGCATCTAAGTTGGCGCTGGTGGAGCAGGCGGAAATTCAAATGCCTCCGTCGTCTCATATCGCGCTGGTGTTACATGGGCAGCAGAAGGAGGACGGGCGCCTTCATTTGATGGTGGCCGCGAGTTCATCATGGGAGTGACTGCTGGAGGAGGCAAGTTCATCATCACTGGCATTCCGTTGGGTCCCAAAATGACTGGTTGCTTAATGTTTCCGCTTTGACGAACGTATTGGGGATGGGCGTAGGAATATGGTGGATAGCCACCCGGTCCAGGCATGTATATTTGCTCGGTCATCATCAGCGGAGGCTCTGATTCGGATGTTGCTACTCCTTGAGACGTATAGTACGCATTCCAACTCGCAGCCAGGTCCTTTCGTTTCTTGTGTTCCTCCTCTTGGTCACTTTCCCTTTGCTTTTTCCATTCTTCCATTGCGACCTTGTACTTTTCTCGTTCTTTCTTTTCCTTTTCGACAAAGGGTAGCTTTTCTTCCTTGCTAGCGGCACGCCATAATTCTCCCAACAGGCGGGATACATCCGTATTTGCCATGTCTGGATTCTTTTCCTTGATCTTGGGTCGTTCTATCAGGGCAAAATAAAGGAAAGCAGACATGCTTCGTTTTGGTGCGCTGGGATCCTTACGTACCCGTTTGCTAGGGACTTGCCACGGGCCCTTATAGGTTGCCTTCTCATTCATGAAGCGTTCCTTGTCCTTGGCAGCGACTTCTTCCCAATGTTGCTTTTGATTTACCGGGAGGTTCTTCCTGATTGTTTGACAAAACGAGAGAGTTAGCGCTTGGATCCATATCCATATCACATACTACAATAAAAATGACAGAGAGAGAGACAGAGAGAGAAAGAGATACATACCACATTTCTGCGGAGCGCTTGGATATTTCAGTAATGCTTGCCTTTGGACCCAACAATTGTTTGATATGTGGCCTTTGCGCTGTGAAGAAGCAAATGTAGCTCGACCGGAACCGTTTCGGTGCTTGCGGCGCTTTCTTGAGTTGCTGAGTACCATCATCTCTCGCTCGTTTCCGTGGCTTGCCTCCCGAATCGCCTTGTTTGGCGACATCCTACAGTGATGCAAAACGTTTCAAAAAGTGAGAAAGATTGACTAACATTTCCGTGATAGTTCCAGTTCATCACCTGGCCGTGGTTGGTTCATGTTGTCGCTATCCATGGAAGCACATAATTTCATCTCTTCTTGTCGTGCCTTGATAGACGAGAAGAGGCCGAGAAAGCTGTGTTGATTTGGCAGCCCCACGTGCTGCAACATTGACAAGAGCATTCGCGTCGACAACGGCAACATCAATGATTGTTGACGCAAGCACCGCGTCTGACAGCAACTTGGACACGAAAGACTAAACAATCCTGATATTCTATCACTTCAATCCTTTTTACCAGATCTGTTTGACTTACTGTAGACGACATTGCTTTATGGGAACAACAATCAATGGTTTTGATGTTTTGATTTGTGACGCCTGTGTTCTGATAGCCGCCGTGATTGGAATTCTGTCGTTTTATCAGATCGCATTGTTCAGTTCGTTGTTGAAGAATCAAATACCGCACTATTCGCCTTTTTGGAAAAGGGTGTGGCAACATACGCATACAATCCGATCGTTGGAGAGTTTCATGACGTCACAGACTCGCAGATTAGAGAACAGGGAACAGTGCAGACAGATTTGGAGATCACATGAGAGTAGTGTACCCTATCACAGAGTAAAATATCCAATGACAACAAATGCTCGATAGATGGTAGATGGTCTAGGATAGAATGCTTTCTTTGGAAAACTAGTTTATTTCTCTTTCTTCACTTCTTCCTTTTTCGATGATAAGGATTCTTCACCACCACTTTCACTTGCTGATGTTCCTTTCGGCTCTTCTTTGAATTTAATGGCACCATTTGCCAGCACACGTTTTCCGTATTCGACTGGGAGAAAGATATTCTTCAAAAACAATACAGCCAGCATTGCAATTCCCGCACCCAACGAAATCCACTTGACTTGATTCCCATACGATACAGCCGTCATTTCATTCTTTGTAAGTGGTATCTTCAGAAAGGTCTTGGTGGCGTATCCACAGCCAAGGGTCTCGATGATATCACCAATCGTTGCAAGCAGAATAATCAACGATAATTTGGGAGAAATTCCAGCTTTCTTGCATTCTTTGTAAAGCAAGGAACCCAATAGTGTCGAGTATATCGGAATTGTTGGCACCATATCCCATTTGACCACATCCAGATAGGCAAATCTTCCTTCCACCCCAATTCCAGCAAGGTAATCATACATTCGCTTACTCTGAATGCCAAACCACATGTCTGGTGGTTCGTTTCCGCCAAACTTGTCCATCAAATAAGATGTCTTTTGGTTCATGACGACAACCGATACAACCTGCAATGTAGCAACTATCAATAGGAGTGCGCTGGATTCAGCCACAGCTCTATATATTGGAAGCACCATGGCGATTGATATTAGTGGAGAGTTGACGGGAACTCTAAAATGATGATCGCAGTGAAAGGTTGTTTGTCTTTCATGTGAACGAATTCGCGGCGTGTATTGATTGCACAAAGAATACGCTTGAAATTCAAAAAAGTTCGGATCGAAGTAGTCCGTTTTGGGAGCTTCTTCAGAAGTTCGTTCGTGCAATTCCGGTAAGTACCAGGTACCTGGTACTCTGGGGCGACATTCGATCATTGCAATATAGACCTTGTAAGAGCACACTGGTGTGTGAGGGATCGATGCTTGTAATCATTGACCACCATTCCTACAATTTTTATGTTTGAGAGATGCAGAGGGGCCACCAGCAGGCAGATCTTGCTCCGTCATAATGGTAACAGTAACGGTCGGGAATCGGAGACAGCGGAGAACATTTTTGAATAATGGTTTGAGAGGAATGTGCTCCATCACTCAATCTTCGAAGTGTCCAAACTTTTAAAAAAAGATTCATCCTCCTTTTTTCGCATTTCGTTTCATTTCGTTCAGTCACACAACTGTGATCGACTACTCCGACAACTTCCTTCTTGCTTATATAGATGGGTCAACGACAGCTGTATAAATTCTTTCTAGTGATGTAGTCTACATGCTCGATAAACGGCATATCATCTTGCTTGGTTCAGCGTTGCTTAGGAACAGCTGGTTGATGCACGCCACTCCTGCAGAGAATGATGATACCCGCTGCTGGAAGTCTAAAGTCAACAATTCATAGGTACTCTTGTAGCAGGATTATTAAGCGCGTGAGCTGACAAACTCAAAGTTGCTGGTGCTGTCGCGAACAAATCTATGGTCCAACAGATCTTTAAACAGTGGATTCTGGATTTGAATCTGAAACAAAGAGAAGGAAGATTAGAAACCATGTAATCCATGAGACAACAGCAGCACTGAGGCTAGCGCAAATACAATCAATCAGTCTGTGCCCATTCAACGACATGGTAGCACTTACCCGCAATATTTCTTCAAAATCTAATTTGGCTTCCTTATAGTTTTCTGCAGATGCCCGGATATACCCAGAGTTATTGAGTACAAACGTTCGGTACAGGTAGTTCCAATCCGTTTCAACAGACGGCTGATCGGGAGTGGCTCTGTCAATGATTCCAAGAGCCTCTTCTATTGCTGCCGTAGCGTCTTTCATATTTCCCATGGCAACGTAACAACAGGCGATATTGTTCTTTAAAGCGCTCAGCCGACGGTGGGATGTTCCAAGGTTCTTGGCTACAATTTCAAACGAGTCCTTGAACGCAACAACAGCTTCGCCGTACCGTTCCCGTGTAAATAGTTGAACACCTAGCTCATCCAAGGTTGGAGCAATTTCAATATGGCCCTTTCCGAATGCTTCACGCTTGAAAGCCACTGCTTCTTCAAAGTATGTCATCGCCTCGTCTTGTTTTCCCATGAGCACCGAAAGAACACCGAGATTATGTGCCGTGATTCCGACCATGTATGCGTTATTGACCATCGTGATCCTACGTTGTTGGATATCATACTTCCTCTCCAATTCACGAGATGCAGCAACGTAGTCCCTATATTGTATACAACACAGAACTTTTCGAATGGTTCTGGACATGGCTCGGTCGTCTGGATATTCTTCGTTCCAAACGTCCAACAGTATCTTTTGCGTCTTCTTGATCCCAAGTCCATTGTCATCGTCCATCAAATATCCAATGGAAATCATTCGTGTGCTTCTAACTTCGATCTGTTCTAGAGTCTCAAAGGCTTTTTCCTTGGCTGATGCTTCCTGACCCAAGGTTCCTAAACCAATGTATTCCACGCCAGTGAGTTGAATGAATTGTTCCATAGGTACAACTCCAGGGACAGCTCTTTCACCAGGAGCAAAGGTGTCACATAAGCACTCTTGAATCATGGATTTCAAAAAGGCAAGTGGTCTGGAGTGAGGGAAACCTTCCAATGCGTTCAACGCAGCTTCGTCCATGTCCATGACAGGAGTGGTTGTGATCATCCTACTCGTAGTAGTATTGTTGGTGGAGGAAGGGGGAGCAATTATTTCTTGATCGACAGGCATGGAATAAGAGTGATCCAACCCCGGATCGCTTTCTAATGGTTCCATCATCTTGACTGTGTAGGTGTGTGTAGGAATGTAGACGTAGTGTTCCTCTGATGAAGGCTCGTGGGGTTGTCAACTATTATCTGCAGTTTGAAAATCGATTTCGTGTTGGGTGAGTCGTATTTCTTCTTGTTGACCGTTATTCTCATCTCGAAGCAGTGCGGGCTCCTTTGGCAATTTTGATTGGTAGCAAGGAAAGCCCGTCGGTAGTCGAACCTGCCATCATTTTGGCGAGAGAAAAAGTATGAAAACTGCATCTCACTAATACTAATACAACAACAACTCATTTCACAGACAACAGTGCTGTACCGATCTATTTTAAAAAGCTCCATCTTTCAACAGAGCACAAATCATGATCTACTCAAAGAAAATCATCCTTTCGCTTCTAATTCTCGTGGTAAGCCTACCACAAAATGACGCACAAGGAGTGAGGGGCAGGGTGCATGGTGGCCATTACCTTCGTGCTAGTAGTACAGCAACCGAAGATAAATACGATAGAACAGCAAATGCTCACACAGTCAATGTGATTGGAGGAGGGAGGCATTCGCATGTGCGATACACAGAAAAGACAAGATCATCATCCACCGAAGAGTCTTCAGCTAGAGCTCCCGTTGTGGATTCTCATGCCAAGCTTTTGACCATTTCACGACCAAAAGTTCCGTCACAAGTAGAGACTACGCCATCCAAAAAGAAGTCACAGAAAATGTCGTCTCGCAAAGCTGTCCTATCATTTGAGAATCCTGTCCAAAAGACAGCATTGACAATGAAGCAAAGGGACTAATGATGGTGAAGCTTTGGAAGATTATTCGCAGCCGCAACAGAAATAATAGAGCGCGTTGTCTTTCACTTTCTCTATATTGATACATATCCATATATAACAACATTTATATCGATACCTGGCTATTCTTTGCTTTCTACGTCAGAGGGACAGCACAACTGTTTTATTCTTGTGCTATACTATTTGGAAATAAAGTTGACTTGTTGCTGGGCGCGATTGTACTCTTGGGCGGGATAGGCGACACCTTGATCTCGGATACCTCTGACGTCGAATGCTTGCCTACCACATCGGTACTGCTTCGTTGCCTTTATTGGAATGGAATTGTCAGCTTGATCATGTGCAGATTCGTAATCGCACCGAATCCTCTTCTCTCCAGCATTCGCAACACAGTTCCTATTGTTGGATGAAACAAGAAGTGATTCCGGTCCCTCGTTCGAGTTTTTATTAGGATGGTCATCGTTGTTCAGTTGGGGATTGGCCCTCATGGATCTTGTCTCCCAATATTCACGTTCTTGGAGTGCTCGCTCGAGCATGGCTCGAGTCCTGTTGTGCTGAACAGATACAAATTCAAAGTCTTGTTTCAACTCTCCATGACGATGTTTCAAGTCTTCAAAGAGCCCAACCATGTAGCACTTTTGTCTCCGCAAGGTCTTGGTACTTGCTTGGAGACTGTTACGCAGCATCGTCATGCTTTGCAGATCCGAGTGCGTTTTCCTCAGTTGCAATGCCAAGTTTTCCATCTCGTAGAGCGCATTTTTGCGAGATTCCATCTCATATTCAAGTTTTGCTGTTACCATTTCCATCTCTTCTCGCATCCTTCTGTTCTCTTCTTGTAGCTCCATGTGTGCAGACTTCTCGTCATCTACAGTTGGCATGGTCGGCACGTGATGGCCAGTCTTTTCACATTTGACATGGGTATTCATGTGCTCAATCAGACGCTTGATTCCTTCTTTTGAGTCGGAATCCGCGCGTGGTGTGCCTGGCACTAGTGGAGTGGTATCAATGCTTTGTTGCTTTGTCATAACTTGTTGCTTTTTATGCACTAGTAGTTTGATGGTTCCAAATTGTGTCCACAGAATGAAGCAATCAATGCCTGCAGTTTTCCCGTGATCTCGGAATAGTATCCTCGGAATTGCAATCCAATCATGGAATTTTCGGTTGGACCGGTATCATACCTAACGCACCGATTGCTGATTCCCAACTAGGACATCTTGTTCGTTGGGCCTGTCATTCATTGACGGTTTCATAAGTCTTCTGCAGAAAGAAGTTGGTTTGGGTATGACCAATAGTATGCATAAAAGTCTTGGAATCAGCATTCAACATCGGAGATGTTTCCTGTCGGTTGAAAATGTATGCGTTGACTCCCATATAGAGTATGACTGGAGATGAGTGTCAACATCCTGCTACGATGGAGAAACGTTCGTCGGTTCGTTGGGTGATTGCTTCGTCTCAACTTTACCGGTCCCCTCAATAAAATACGGCAAGCGACGCGTATCTTGTTGGAATGAGCAATGAAGGTTGAATGACGATGTTGAATGTGTAATATATGCGTGTGCACTTGTTGCTTGTTTGTTTATGATGCGCATTCATTATTGTAGCATTGCTGTTTTCGACCAATACGACTTGTGAAAGATTCAATCAATGTGATGTGTTATTGCCTTTGTACCGGTACATATCGGTGCGTGTACGAATGACATCAACAGCTTTACCGTTTTCGAAATCAATGACAACTAGTCTTGTTATCCATCCCAGTATTGACTACTACTGTCGATCCGTTTCATTGGGTTGTCCGACATTGGTTACGCGGACTAGACTGAAAATACCATGGGCAAAAAAATATCAACACGCACGACGGTTGTTTGAAAACAGGTCCCACCACATTTCGGGTCGTCTGCCAGGAAATTTTACATCGACGCAAAGTCCACCACAGCTCTCACATAAACTCAAAGCACACAAATTCGGTATCATGATGCATCCATTCAAGAATATCTTCTTCCTGATCCTCGTCGTGGCAACTCTCTCGGCACCATGTAATGCAAGGGTCCTTCTCGCCAAGAAGTCAAAGGCCCCCCTTGACCAAAAGGGAGCCAAAAAGCTTTCGTCTCGAGCCCCAACTGCCCTTTCCGCTAAAGGAGGCTCTTCTGGCAAGGGAAGCTCCAAAGAGTTGTCGAAGGAGATGGCCTCCAAAGCATCTGGAAAGGCAACCTCCGAAGGAACTTCCTCGAAAAAAGCTTCCAAAGGAGCCGCCAAGGCGACCCCAGCGGCTCTCTCTGAAGGATCTTCCAAGGCAGCACCGACCGGAAGCCCCAAAGAAACCTCGAAGGGAACTTCCGAGGTGACTTCGTCCAAGGGAAAGGCCAAGAAGGAAGCATCCAAGGCCAAGAAATCGGCATCCAAGTCCAACGAAGATTCTGTTTAAAAGTCGACCGAAGAAGAAATGTATCCGCAGCAGCAACTATAACTAGTAGTATAGAGCGCGTTTTCTGTATCCAAAGCATACTGCTGCATTCGTGCCAACAGGCCGTCCGCCCTTCATTCGGCCTCGCCCTCGCATCAAGAGATATTCGTATTCATCTACAGTGGATGGCTCAGTTGGTTCAATTGATATGTTTGTTGTTCAAACTGTTTCGATTCACCAGCTTCACCCGGAGTACATTCCATCAGCTACATTCAATCAGAGAAAGAACCAAGACGAACACATAAGCAGAAGGCGCTAGTCGAATATCAAACAGTTGGAGCATATCGATCTTGTCTCATCGTGCTGATAATCTGGGTGACGATGGTTGGTGCGAATCTGTAATGTACTGCCCATTCGTTTGGTTGTTGAATGGGCTGTTGTGGGTGGATGTGTTGCCATTTTCATTGATATGTTACGCATTTTGCTTGCCGTTTTATTTTATTGCATGCAGTGCTGACGGGTCGGCTGTCGCACGCAGGAAGAACCGTTTCGTCACCTGCGATCTTTCTTGAAGGATTCACTTGCTCGATCCATGTCAAAAGATACGGTTGGAGATACGCCGCCAGCCTGCATTGTACTTACAGAACCCAGGCATTCTGTATCTTGTGTCATAGTTCCAGGTACATCAGAGAATCGGCCACTCAAGAAGGCTTCCATTTCAATTGCTCTGTGTGCAATCTGAATTCCAACACAAAAACAAGATACCGATCTTTGCCATTTATTCGCTTTGAACTGATCAACAAGATACAGCAAGGAATTGACCATGCCCAGTAACAACGATTACTACGGCAACCAGGATCGTGACCATCGTGACCGAGGCCGGGGCCGAGATCGTAACCAAAGCTCCGATAATAGGCAAGGTGGTAAGTTCCGTCCAACAGAATGATAGTCTTCTTTCGAATGACACAGCACAGGCGTTGAGTCTCAAACCATTTCGCTTCATAAATCTCTCAGGTAGCGATCGCTCTCGTAGCCGCTCAGTTGGTCATCGAAGTGACCCTTACGATGGTGGTCGAGGACGAGGCTCGTCTTTACCACAGAGAGGAAGAGACTACGATCGCCGGATGATGGATACTCACAGACAAGGCCAGCTCCGGCGACACTCTGGTGGAAGCCCCTACGGTCCTCAAGGCAATGACCCCCCAAGCGGCTCCTCACAAGGCCACCACCACAACCACCGCCGTGATGTCGATTTCAACCATGGTCGAAGATCGCAACGTGACCGTGAGCCTTACGAAGAGCGAAGAAACTTTAGACGAGAACCACCTCGTGGAGGAAGATATAACGGTGGCAGAGGTGGTGGTAGAGGTAGTTGGGGCGGTCGAGGACAAGGTCCAGACCTCTCTGGCATACAAGCTTGCACCACCAATATACTCAAAGCTGAGGTCACTGAAGGTTTCCACTTCTATGAGTACTCTATCCACGCAGAGGACTCAAGTGGTGAAATAGTTGACTCTCCCAGGCGCCGTAGATTCCTCTTCAATGTCGGTTTCTGGGAAAATCTCTTGAAGGATCTGCCGAAAAAGCAAAAGGATGATTTTCGTAAAGTTGTATTCTTCAACGGTTCGACATTCTATTCCGGAAGACCAATTCCTGGTTTAGAGGATTCAAGCTTCCCTAAAACTCTGGACTTGGGAGACAGAGGCGAAGGCGACATCATGCAGGTCATCCGTGTCAGGAAACTTTTGGCACCAGCCGAAGTCCAAGTGACAAGGCCTGAACAGAATCAGAATAAAGTTATTTTTGACCGTCGAATTGCAGATGGAACAAAGTCGTTCCCAGATTACAAGGCCACGTTGCAATTCTGGTAAGTGAAGCAGCTTTACATATTGAAATGGAATGGAACGTCATTATCTAAGAGTCATTCTCTCGTGCGATTAGTCAACAGCATGACAAAACGCCTGCCTATGTTCCAAGTGATGGTACACCAGCAACACTTGAAGAGTTTTCTGCCTTTGTCAACAGTGCGCTAAAGAGTGCGCTTGGAGAAAAACTTTCCAGGTGGGGCCGTGATCTGATCGATCCAAACAAGGTGACAAAGCATGGAAGCGTCGGGGTGTCAGTCTATGAAGCCTATCGGTGCGAATTCGGCGTTTTGAAGAAATCGGACGACGAGGAAACTACAAAGATTGTCTCTAAAGAGATAAAGGTACTAGAAGAGCAGAGGATTGCTACTGATCCCAAGGTTGTTCTCAGTGAGAGCAGTGTGCTCAACGGCAAGGCACGAGGAGTGCTGGCACTTACGATTGATCTTGGGGCCAAGGTTATTCGCGATAAAAGTGTGCTCGACGAATTGGTTGGAAATAGAGATCCACATTCTTGGAATCCAAGTGACAAAGAAAAGGTGAGTAGTTGTATTTGAGCCAAAACTTTACTTTTGTATATTTGTAAATGCGAGACTAACAAGTGTACAGGAACAAGCCAAGAAGAACTGGATTGGTCAAACTGTAATCACCAAGCACGACAAGAGGTGCTACATGGTTGAGGGTCTCGATTTCGACAATAGCGCTGAAAGCTTGGCAATCGAAAATCTAGGTATAAACCACGCCGAATACTTTCAGCAACGAAAGGGCAGGAGGCTCGTTTTTCCAAAATTCAAGCCAATGGTTAGGGTGCTGGGTCGTCGAGACGAGGTGATTCATCTCCCAGCAGAGTTGGTCTGTGGGAATGAACTGGATACAGATATAAAGAGAAAGCTACCCATGATTGCCAACTTCCCACCTGATGTCAGGAATGAAGCAATAAAAATGGTTCGAGGATTCCTGGTGCCGGGAGGAACGGGTAAACAAGGCATCCTTCCGGGCTTGGGAATCCAAATCACAGGTGATAGATTCACTTCCAGAGCTACTGTGCTTCCGCTTCCAATGGTTGTGGCTGCTGGGGTCCGAATTCCCGAAGACAAGAAAAATATGTGGGCTCCTACATTGAACAAGTGCAACTACAGGTTTAACCCAAGTGAACCTAATACCTTGAAAGTCGTGTTGGTCCATTACGAAGAACTGACAGAAAGATCTGCGAAGAAAGTTTACTTTCAGATTCGTCAGACTGTGAACAAGTTGAACGCTTTCTATCGTTTGAGCGATGAACCATATCTTTTCCCTGCAGGTGAGTCAATATTGAAAACGATTCGTTTACAAATTACATTGAGACTCAATTGCCTTTGTTGAAATAGGGCAAGGGAGCTTGCATTCGAAGGCCGTGGAGGAATGTTTCAGGCAGGGGGCGTCGTCTCTCCCTAAGGAGAACGTGTTTGTCATTGATTTTTGCAGACCAGGGGGCTCCACCGACCCTGCATATTCAACCATCAAGTATATGCTTACCCGCCATGGCTACATTTCTCAATTTGTCAACTTTAGTAACTGTGCGCATGATAACCCTGGTAACGAAAAAGTAGCTAAACGGAGCAGAGACATAATTAATGGAGTAGGAAGGCAGATTCTCAGCAAGGCTGGTGCTCGACTATGGTGGGTCCAAATCCCGCAAGGACTACCAACTCCTTCAGTCTTTGTCGGCGTTGATGTTTTTCATGCGCCAAAAGAGTATGATCCCGAGCTGAAAAAACGAGTCCGCAAACGATCTTGTGCTGCGATCATTGTCCAAGTTTTTCGCCGAGATGGATCAAATAGACCAACTGTCGAGCTCTATTCTGAGACTGTGGCCCGTAAAGCTGGAATAGAGTATGATCTTGAAAGTAGCTTGAACGGAGCAGTGAAGACTGCATTGAAAGAATTGAATGTCAATCCCATGTCGTGTGTCGTGTGGCGAGATGGAATTGGAGATTCAGCTTTTGAGTCGGAAGCTTCGAAAGAGATTGAAGGAGTGGAGAAAGCTTTGAGCGAAATTTCTCTGAACGAATCCACGAAAACTCCAATGGCGTATGTTGTGTGCCAGAAACAGATCAAAACGAAGCTGTTCGCGGCAGGGGTGAATGGAGAGCCAGATGGCAAATATGCAGCTCCTCCGGGCACTTTGGTACAAGGAATTCAAGGTCTACAGCACGACACGTTTTACATCAATGGAAGGGCACCCCCACGGAGCACCCCTAGGCCTGTGCGCTATGTCGTCATTCGACAAGATGAGGAACTCCAAGGAGTCTCGCTTCCTGAGTTGACATGGAACATGTGCCATGATTATCCAAATTGGTACGTATGCATATATGAATTTCTGTGCTTTTGCGCACACATACTGGGCTCATTTTTATTCTTCTTTCCACGTTGCGCCCCAAGGACTGGCCCTATCAAGGTGCCTAGCGTTTGCATGATGGCCCACAAACTCGCCGAGTTGGCTGGAAATATGTCAGATAGCGGAGCAAGCATGGACAACAAAGGTCTCAAAAACCGAGTTCATTTCTTGTAGACTCAAAAAGGTCCGAGGGCATTTACAAACCATCGACATTACATATAAATTGCATATTGGATCGAACATATAAATTGCATATTGGATCGAAAAGTCAATAGCGGTTGACTCGATATACATGAATAACACGACAGCTCTTACCAATCGTGCTCAAGCTGGAAGACCGAAGACATACATGATTTACAAATATCTATATAGGACCTACATATTTTTAAGAACAATGCAAATGAAAAAATGGCATCATATAGATCTTTTCAACTGCAAAGGGATCAATGAGCTGGCGGTAGCATCTGCACAATCCATGCTTTCGTATTGTTTGACTTATGAACGCATTGGTCACAATATCGGTTAAGAGACGTGAGACCAACGATATCCATTGTGAAATCGATCCCATCCATTGTGAAATCGATCCTGTGCACTTTTTGTAGTTCTGTCCTGTCAATATCTCCCCATTGATGCCAGGGCCCGTCTCGTCAAGAAGTCCATGGCGCAGCTTGACCTAAAAGCCTTTCGTCTCGAGCTCCAACTGCCCCTTTCGCTAAACGAGGCTCTTCTGGCAAGGCAACCTCCAAAGCGTTGTCCAAGGAGATGATATCCAAAGCATCTGGAAAGGCAACCTCCAACGGAACCTCGAAGAAAGTTTCCAAGAGAGCCGTCAAGGCGACCCCAGTGGCCATCTCCGGCAGCACCGTCCGGAAGCACCAAAGAAACCTCGAAGGGAACTTCCGAGGTGACTTCTTCTAAGCGATCTTCCGAGGTGACTTCGTCTAACAAGGGAAAGGCCAAGAAGGAAGCATCCAAGGCCAAGAAAGCGGCATTCACCAAGTCCAAAGGAGATTCTGTTGCAAAGTCGACCGAAGAAGAAATGTATCCGCAGCAGCAACTATAACTAGTAATATAGAGCACGATTTCTGTATCCAAAGCATGGCATTCGTGCCAATAGGCCGTCCGTCCTTCATTCAGCCTCATCCTCGCATCAAGAGATATGCATTCGAGTTGATGGCTCCGTGTTGTGTCAATTGATGTGTTTGTTTGCTGACAAATTGTTTCGATTCACCAACTTCATCCCATAGTACATTCCACTAGAGAAAGAGCCAAAACGAACACAAAAGCAGAAATGCAGAACGGTCCAGTCGGATATAGCACACAATCGTTATCTTTTCTCTTGTCTCATCGTCCTGATAATCTGGGTGACGACGGTTGGTGCGAATCTGTAATGTACTGCCTATTCGTTTGGTTATTGAATGGGCTGTCGTGGGTGGATGTGTTGTCATTTTCCTTGATATATCTCGGCGTGTGACGCATTGCTTGCCAGGCTTTGGTACCAGTTACCGTACCGGTACCATACTCGTAGCGTGTTTGTTGCCGTTTTATTATTTTATGCTTGGCTAAAGGGTCGGCTGTCGCACGCGGGAAGAACCGTTTCGTCACCTGCAATCTTTCTTGAAGGATTCATTTGCTCGATCCAAGTCAAAAGATACGGTTGGAGCCAGCCTGCATTGTACTTACAGAACCTAGCCATGCTGTATCTTTTGTCATGCTGCAGTTCAAGGTGCATCAGAACAGCAATCAAGAAGAATTCTTTTCCAGTCTTCTGTGTGCAGTTTGAATTCCAACACAAAAAGATACTGAACTTTGCCATTTGTTCTTTTTGAGCTGATCAACAAGATACAGCAAGGAATTGACCATGCCCGGTAACAACAATTACTACGGCAACCAGGATCATGAGAATCAGGATCAAGGCCAGGGCCGAGATCATAGCCAGAATTCAGATAATAGGCAAGGTGGTAAGTTCCGTCCAACAGAATGATAGTCTTCTTTCGAATGACACAGAACAGGCGTTGAGTCTCAAACCATTTTGCATCATACATCTTTCAGGTAGCAATTGCTCCCGTAGCCAGTATCGCGATGACAATCGCTCTCTAGGAGATTCACACAGTCATCGAAGTGGATCCCATGATGGCCCAGGTTCCTCTTTGCAACAGAGAGAAAGAGAATACGATTGTCGGAAGGTGGATAATCAGCGACAAGTTCAGTACTGGCAAGCCTCAAGTGGAACCCCATACCGCCCTCAAGGCAATGATCCCTGGAGCGGATTCCATGAAGGCCGAGGTTTGTCTTTACCACCAAGAAGAGGAGATCCCTGGATTGTTGGGGATTGGGGACAAGGTCCCAGTTCAAGCCCCTACGGCCCTCAAGGTGGTGACCCCCACAGCGGATCCCATTATGGTCAAGGTCGAGGCCGAGGCTCCTCTTTACCACCAAGAAGAGGAGAATATGATCCCGGGATGGTGGAGATTCACACCAGACAAGGCCAGCACTGGCGAGACTCTGGTGGAAGCCCCTACGGTCCTCAAGGCAATGGCCCCCAAAGCAGATACTCACAAGGCCACCACCACAACAACCTTAGTGTTGATGTTGACACCACGTATGATCGACGATGGCATCATGACCATAAGCAAGCGAAACCACCTCGCAACGGGAGATATCTCCATGGCAGAGGTGGCGGTGTGAGTGGTCGACGTCGAAATCCAGGTCAAGACCTCTCAGATCTAAGGGCCATCAAGTCCAATTTAGCGGAGGTTACTGAAGGTTTTGTCTTCTACGAGTACTCCATTGTTGCACAGAACTCAATCGATAATGAACCAATCAAACGTCAGACACGAACAAGGTTCTTTTTCAATTTGGGGTTCTGGGAAGGTCTTGGACTTTTGAAAGATTTGCCAGACAAGGAGAAAAATGAATTCCGTACGGTTGTATTCTTCAATGGTTTGACCTTCTACTCCGGACAACCAATTCCTGGTATAGAAGACAACTCAAAGTTACCTTACAAAATGAACCTTGGGGACAGAGGCCAAGGCGACACCATGGAGATAAAAACAGTGAGGAAACTGCTGGCACAAGCGGAACTGCAAGTACCAAGGTCTGAACATAACCCGAATGAACTTGCTTTTGACAATCGAATTGCAAATGAAACTAGGTGGTTCAAAGATCACAAGGCCCTTTTTCAACACTGGTAAGTGAAACTACTGATCATGCGCTGCTGAACCTATTGAACTCAAACAACTGCATAGTCTAAGTATGATCCTTCAATGCAATTAGTCGACAGACCAGTAATAGGCCTGCTTATATTCCAAGTGATGGTGAACTTGCAACAGTCAAAGAGTTTTCTGCCTTTGTCGACAGCGCGCTGAAGAGTGCTCTTAGCACAAAATTCTTGAGATGGGGTCATGATTTGATCAATCCAGACTTTGGACCTAAAAACGAACCTTACCTCAATGCAACCGGAGAGCCGCTCACAGTTTCTGTCTATCAAGCCTATTGGTGCAAATTTGGCGATTTGAAGAAAACGGATGGGAAGGCTGTGCTAACACTTACGAGTGATCTTAGGGCCAAGGTTATCCCCAAAGAAAGTGTCCTCGAGTCACTTGTTGGAAGGAGAGATGCAAAATCTTGGAATCCAAGTGAGGAAGAAATGGTGAGTTGCAGTTTTACTTTATGCTGTTTTTGCCAAAACGAAGACCAGACTAACAAGGCATGCAGAAACTAGCGAAAGAGCGATGGAGAGGTGAAATTGTGATTGCCAAGCATGACAAGAACACCTACACGGTCATGGACCTTGACTTTGAAAATAGCGCCGAAAGCTTGGTAATCAACCACGTTGAATACTTTAAGCAAAGAAGGAACATACAACTCAATCATCCAAAGTTTAAGCCGATGGTTACAGCGCTAAATCATCGCGGTAAGCTGGTTCATCTTCCCGCTGAGAGGATCTGTGGAAATGAAATGGATTCTTGTATCAAGAGAGAGCTGCCAAAGATTGCCAGTTTCCCACCTCACATTAGGAATAACGCAGTTGAGTTGGTTCAAGAACAACTGGTCCCGGGGAAAAAGGATAGTATACTCGCGGGCTTGGGAATCCAAATCACTGACCAAAGATTATCTTCCAAAGCCACAGTGCTTCCAATTCCCATGGTGATAGCTAATGGGATCCCAGTTCCAGGTCGTAAAGGTGCTTGGGCTCCTCATGTGAACAAGCATTGCAACTACGACATTGATCGGAATAGGTCAAACACCTTCAATGTCGTGCTGATCTATAACAATGCCCTGAAAAAAAGAGCTGCAAAATATGTACTCAAAAATTTGTACGGCTGTGAACAAGTTCAACACTCTCTTTTGTTTGAGTGATGAACCATTCCACATGGTGGAAGCGGGTAAGTCAACACAGAAGGCCATGTGCTTTTGGAAATTGTGTTGTGACTCAATATACCCGCTTATTGGGTTAGGGCACAGGGTACCTCACTTTACTGCAGTGGAAGAATGCCTTGAGGATGCCTCAAGACTACCAAAAAGAGAGAACCTATTTGTTCTTGATTTTTGCAGACCAGGGGGCTCCACCGACCCTGCATATTCAGCCATTAAGTGGATGCTTATCCGCAATGGCTACCTTTCTCAATTCGTCAACTTATGTGCGCATCATCTCACTCGTGACAAAAACATTTTGAAATTAAGCGGAGAAATCATAAATGGAGTAGGAAGACAGATCCTGAATAAGGCTGGTGCTATGCTATGGCGGGTCCAAGTCCCACTCGGATTGCCAACTCCGTCAGTCTTTGTCGGTGTTGACATGTTTCATGCACCAAAAGAGTATGATCCTGAGCTGAAAAGGCGAGCCTGCAAATGGTCTTGTGCTGCGATCATTGTCCAAGTCATCAAAGATCAGTCAAATCAGCGTGCACCAAGCTTCAAGCTGTACTCTGAGACTGTAGTCCGTAAAGCTGGAATGGAATATGGTCTCCGGGACTGTTTGAAGGGAGCAGTGAAAACTGCATTGACAGAACTAAGTGTTAATCCCATGTCGTGTGTCATGTGGCAAGATGGAATTGGAGATTCAGCATTTGAATCCGAAGCTTCGGAAGAAATTGAACGAGTGGAGGAAGCTTTGAAAGACATGTCTCTGAACAAATGAAAGGCTACACCACCAATATCGTATGTTGTATGCCAAAAACGAATTGCAATGAAAATGTTCGCGGCAGGGGTGAACGGAGAACAAGATTGCAAATATGCAGCTCCACCAGGTACTCTAGTGCAAGGAATTCAAAGTTGGCAGCACGACACATTTTACATCAATGGTAGCACCCCCAGGGAGCACCCCCAAGCCTGTTCACTTTGTTGTCATTCGACAGGATGGCGATGTTAAAGGAGTCTCACTTCCAGAGTTGACATGGAACATGTGCCATGACTATCCAAATTGGTACTTATGTATATGAATTTCTGTGCGCTTTGGCGCAAACATACTGGGCTCATCTTTTTTCTCTCCACATTGTACCTTGTACCCAAGGACTGGCTCTATCAAGGTGCCTAGCGTTTGCATGATGGCCCACAAACTTGCCGAGTTGGCTGGAAATATGAAAGATAGCGGAGCAAGCATGAACCACAAAGCTCTCAAAAACCGAGTTCATTTCTTGTAGACTCAAAGGTCTGAGAGCATTCACAAACCATCGATATTACATAAATTGCATATTGGATCAAAAAAGTCAACACAAGCGAATAGCGATTGACTCAATATACATGAATAATATGACAGCTCTTACCAATTAACAGAAACAGAAACAGAAACAGAAATGCGATGCAAAGGTAAAAAACAGAAACAAATCCCCCGAATAAAGCCCATCTCCCCTTCAGCAAGTACAATGCGGCTTCAAGTATTGGAAGAAGCACTGGGTCTGTTACAATGCCATCACACAGCTGTGAGAACCCTGCTTCAGCACGAGCGGCGACCAATTCAAAGATGCCTACTATGCGTGTCCACAGTGGCAAGATGTCTCTCACATCCATACATCACTCCAAATATACTGGTTGGTTATGGCATCATTTAAATTTGAACAATTCCATGGACAGAAACGAGTGACGAATACTGTTGGAAATCGGTTCTGGCGGACATCAGACTGCTTGTCTTCGTCCAAACCGATTGACAACGTTGTGGCCCATCAAGCCATAATTGCCAACCAGCCGTGCCAGCATGTGACCCATCATGCAGAGGCACCGTCCATAGCGATCTCCGATCCGCCTAATAGGAAATAATCATCTCTACAGGAAATAACTATTCTAAAAGACTTGTTATCTACATGGAATGGGCAAAGCAAAAGCCTTGCACGAAAACTCAAATTTCCCAAAACTTTACTGGATGTTATGCAATCCAGAAAGGCCGGTACAAAACCCACGTACCGAACTCCCGCAGGATTCAGTATGGGATTTTCGTGGCGCTCAGACGTTTGATAGTCCAAGCGCACAATTCCATGTTTTCAGATTCCCTGCAAAACCGACTCATAGGAATCCCCCGAATAAACGGACCAAACGGACATTTGTCCGTCTGTCCGATCGGACGTGTCGAACTGCTTCTATCAAGGAGTTTCCAATGAATGGTCTCCAAGAGAGCAATTCCAACACGCTCCTAATCTCTGAAGATCAGAGTAGGAGAGACGTCCAAAAGCGTGATGTTCAGCTGGAACATCACATGAGCTGCACCCTTGTACACACCCATGTTGCCAATGGACAGGCACACCAAAACGGTAGATTGGTGTGTGGTGTGCAGCCAGTGATCTTGGAGGACTCAGCGCTAGCGCTCCTGTTTTTCCGCAAAAACATGGAGGCGGCATGTGCCACTAAAGATCACTTCTTAACTGGAGGGGACGAATTGCGGCATGGCGCTCCTGAGTTTCCACGTGAAACTTCCAGTCGCAACGCCACATGTCCAGACCCCAGTGCACTTGAAAAACAAGAGCTTGCCGCAATCTTCATGTTTGTCGCGTAACACAAACACAACAATACAACAGGATGATTGGCGCTTGATATCGGGAGGCCTAGGCAGCGGTCTTGATCTCCCACAAAGCAACAATTCACCTTGCCTTCAAGCTCGTCCATCACTCCCCCACGCGACCGACGACAACTGGCCTTGAAATTACAAAAAGCAATCTCTCCAGCTGCCGCCTCGGGCGAGAAAAACGGAAAGGTCTCCACATATGAGCTGATTGTTGTTTTTCCACCGCTCCCACCGTGTCTTTCTTCTTCCCATTGAACTTGCTAAAGTGCGACGCGCCGAGAGCCAAGAGGGCCAAGAGCCGACAGTCGCCATGGAACTGACCCACAGAGGCGGTCTTTCCTCAACGCAAGAAGCTTGGACGAAAGAAGGAGCGGTCGCAGCGCTGGATCCAAGAATAGTTATTTCCTGTAGAGATGATTATTTCCTATTAGGCGGATCGGAGATCGCTATGCCTCTGCATGATGGGTCGCATGCTGGCACGGCTGGTTGGCAATTATGGCTTGATGGGCCACAAAGTTGTCAATCGGTTTGGACGAAGACAAGCAGTCTGATGTCCGCCAGAACCGATTTCCAACAAATACAGCAATCAACATGAGAGGAAGTGACTTGACCAAGTCAACTGTCTGAAGACCGTTTTGCCGCAAAATTTAAAGTTTCTAACCTCAATTGGAGATGAGTTGAAACTGGAGGCAAAAGCGACAACTTTGAAAATAGAATGAGAGACTATTGCATAGAATAGTCTTTGTGGCCCAAGATTTGGAACAAGACAAAGTGCTGCTTTATATATTCCTCCTGAATAGCAAGAACTAATGGGCCAGAAGATGACAATGAATAAACCAAAGTTCTCTATGGACTAGCATGGAAATTGAGAAGAGAATTCGACAAGGGGTACAACAGCAGTTTCGTCCACTACGTGAATTACTTGTAACAAGAACGACGACGAGACGTTGTTCCAGCGGTTTGGTTCAAAGAAGCGCAAGATCTGTTGATGGAAAGTGCAAGATAAACTTTAAGTCATGTGATTGACTGGATTGAAGAATGGTTTCGGAGGCCCTGTCTCATGAGCCGCAAAGGACAGGAATCCTTGCATCCTCACCCAGCGAGGATTCGATCACATGCTTGTTTGTACCAGTTCACGACGTTCTCAATCATCTCAACAACAATGCCAATATTTACAAACCGAAATTCCATCTACGGGCCAGAAGGATTTGAAGTTGCCCGATAACGGTAGGAGAAGAACTCTTCTTTTTGTAGTGTATCACAACTCTTCCAATGATAATGAATGCGATGACGACTGCGCCTCAAGCCAAGCCTATTGGGGAACTCCGGAAGTCTTGCGAGACTTTGGTATGGTTGAACCTCTTCCGCACACTTTCTATTTGGGTGACACTATGACTTTTGTCATTTGGAATGCCACCTTGGGAACTAAAGAGCCCGCACTTGACAATTTGAGCATCGAATACATGAACAACAACTATCCTTCTTTTCAAACCATTGACAAAGCCAGCAAGTCTACCAAACTGAAATTTCAAAAGCTGACACGAAAAAGACTGCTCCATACAAACTCTACATGAAAGCACAATATTACAAGGCACTCTTGAATGCATTCAAAAAATTATTACAACATTCGATCCGCAAATGGCAGTCTAATGGAAAGGAGCAAAAGATGAATCAATTTTATTTTGTATAGCCGAAACAACATTGAAGCCATTGAGCCATCCGTTGGAATCACAATCCAGTTGGGCAGAAGGTGCATGGCAAATTTTCAGCTGAGTCCCCCATCCATTCACAATTCCAAGGAAATGCGACGATCATCTTCCTGTTATACTGGACAATGTCCATCCCGGATGCAAAAATGTCTGGGGACGACTTCAGTGGCCTAGTTGATGCAGAGACCATACTCTTTTGCAACTCCAGGGCAAAGGCTGCAAGTGTGATTTTAAAGCGATGAATGCTAGTCACCACATCGACTCAGAGTGCCTTGGGCCTGTGATTAGCCATGTGAGAAGAGGTTTAGAATTTGAATTGTGGAACAAGAACAAGACGCCATACACTCGCAAGATTTGTTTATCCACTTACCGATTTAACTTACAACGGTATTATGTATCAATAGAGTACAAAAACAAAATCACGGTCCATGTCATGTCAAAATGTCCATGGAAAGGCAATTTGATAGCTATCCTTTGCTTCCATCTCTTTCTTCTGTATCATCTTGAATCATCGAGAAGATGAGATTTCATTCTTACCACCAGCTGACATTTGGCATTGCTCGGATTCATTCCACGTCAGTATTGGTTGGTACCTACCTGCGTAGTATTATTTCTCCTTGACCTCTTGAGCAGACGTCTCTCCTCCGGCAAAATGCCAGAACCATCAGTACTGTACTGTATCTTTTGTTGATGTAGATTGTTGGAGAATGACCAGAAGCCAGCCAGGCATCGAATCTTGGATCCTGGTAGTTTCCGTGGTAGTAGGTATGTACCCATAGCTAGTGAGTCCGGTGTCAAAAATCCAATCTTTCGGAAACGAGATGACCGAAAACAAAATGAAAGCACCTTTGTTGAATTGAACACGTGTGTAAGGTAAAGATGGTAACAGTCACTATCGTATTACGTTGTTGTTGTCGGATTCCTTTAAATTGTGATGTGGATAATTGCAAACGGATCGTGAACGTGTTCGCATGTCGAACTCGTTCGTCACGAATATATATACATTACTTATTGGCCGTGCATGATAGAGAACAAGCTGAACATCTGCTTCTGTCTACCTCTGACTCATCATGTGACATCTACGACATGCCTGACATCAAAACAATGTTGCTGAATTTGCAGTACTAAAAGTACGACGTGGTACAGAGCGCAAAAAACCCGAAATCTTTCGGGAAGATCTTCTTTCCAAGATCTCTTTTTTATCTTGTTTGTTCGTTTGCTTACAGGATTGTAATGAAGTTTGCTGCCTCAACTGTTGCCTACCTTGCTCTTGCAAGTCTTAGTTTCCTCCATGCTGATGCATCGGAGAGAGCTCACCAGCACCTGCGTACCCATGTCGAGGAACGCGAGGTTGCCCATCGTTTCCCATCGCACCAAACCCAGGGTGAAGGAGATGGTTCCCCTCATGTGAGGGAAAAGAACCATTCTGCCGGGAGGTATGAGGATTATCCTGATCCTGATTACAAGGATCGTGGGTATGAAGAGGGTCCCGATCCTAGGTATGAAGATGGTCCTGATCCTAGATACGAGGATCGTGGGTACGAGGATCCTGACCCTAGATACGAGGATCCTGATCCTAGATACGAGGATCGTCCTGAGCCAAGATCTGAGGTTTATCCCGAACCAAGATACGAAGATGCTCCAGTTGCACGAGAGGCCAACCCGGACGGATCTTGTCCCTTCATTGAAGCAATTGCAGAATTTACTGACGTTGAAATCCCACAGGTAACAAATAGCGACGAGAAGGAACTCCTTGTGATCCCTATGCCAAATGGTATAGGGGGAGAGGATATCAACATCATTGATTTCCTTAATGACAAGTTGAAGGATGATGCAATTCTTCCTGTGATCAAACCAGGTGACGAAGTGCCCAACAGTTCTACTAATATGGTTTGCAAACATATTGACTACATCGATGAAAGTGTCGATGTGCTTGTTGCTGGCATTCCAGCAGGAACAAAAGGCCTTTGTTTAGCTTTCAATCCCTGTGAACAAATCTATGCTGTATCGGCAGGTAAGATTTCCGCCATGTGATCTAGAACTAGCCATCATTATCTCACCATTCTGTACGTTCTTCCAATCAGGATTTGTCAAAGTAGACATTCCGCTCACAAATCCTCTTCTTAAGCTTGGCTTCACGTTGAACACAATTGGTGAGCATAAGATCTATCTTCTTTTGAATTTTCTGCTCACAACTCTGACCTGTACCTTATATTGTCAACAGGAATTTCGATCAACAAGGACTTCACTATTGAGACCCACAATGAAATGTGGGATGGGGGCTCCATGGATGCTGTGTCGAAGGTGGATGGACATTTTGCCCTCAAAGGAACTCTCAGTCTCAAGTTTGGTGAAGAAGATTCGGTCAGTTTCCATGCTTTACTATTTCAGAGTTTATGCTTGCCTGTCTCCTAACTACCTGTTCGCTTCATGTTTTGTTTTTATTCTTCGCCAGATTTTTGAATTTTCCGTGAATGGGAGAGCGAGAATCTTTGTTGATGTTGATCCTGCCAATGATAACACTCATCTTACAGCTTTCGAACACATGGTAGGTAACATGAGAATGAAGATTATCACTATTATATAATTCTAACCGTCTTGACTGTTTCTACCAGGATGACTTTGAAATGGTCATATCTGGCCTAATTTTTCCGAAGATTGTCATTGGCAAATTCCCATTAGTTCTCACCTTCAATTTCTCCAAGGTCCTAAACGCTGCAATTGACATCCACCTCCTTGTTGACGAGCAGAATACCCAGCTTGAATTCGCTGCATCCGTCAACACTGATTTGATGAACATTTGTGAAGTTTCTCCTGCCACCAAGTTCCTCTGCAAGTATTTTGAACAAGCTAGTGCGGGTCTCAGCCTCCAAGTTCAATCTTTTGTAAATATCAATCAAGAATTCGGGCTTCGGTTTGCCATTAGTGGTGAACTTGACGCTCCTGAATTCATGGACATTGCTTTCAAACAGCTATTCCCCAAGTGGCCAGCCGACGGGCATGCTTTTGATCTCTCTATTTGGTTTGAGCTCAATGCCGACCAAGAAATCGAGACGTGTGTTGATGCAGGCTTAGGACCAATGTGCTTCACCCCCAAGTGCCTCAATAACGACGACTGTGGTGGAGATCAGATCTGCCATCTGTTCAAATGTCAGGCAAAGTTGCCAGACGGAACGGTTGGCTGCTTCAGTGATTACGACTGTCAGAACTTTTGCAATGGAGGAATCTGTACAGGAAAGCTTGACAATGGTCAAATGTGCAACTGGGAAGACATTCGATGCAAAAGCGATCATTGTGTTGGTAACATTTGCCGCGAGTGCGCAAAGCATTCCGATTGTCCATCTGGTGAGGTAAGGGCATTGATTGTTCAGTGATAGAACGTCCATGAATTTTTTCCAACAATTCACCATTGTCCTTCCCTTTGATCATTAACATTGTAGGCCTGCCGAGGTACTCCTTTGCAATGCAGAGAGCTACATGATAACGGCTCCATGTGTAACTGGGATGATAACAACTGTGCCAGTGGGCATTGTGTTAGTAACATTTGCCGCGAGTGCGCAAAGCATTCCGATTGTCCATCTGGTGAGGTAAGGACATTGATTGTTCAGTGATAGAACGTCCATGAATTTTTTCCAACAATTCACCATTTCACTTCATTTTTGCTTTTATCATAGAGCTGCCGAGGTACTCCTTTGCAATGCAGAGAGCTACATGATAACGGCTCTATGTGTAACTGGGATGATAACAACTGTGCCAGTGGGCATTGTGTTAGTAACATTTGCCGCGAGTGCGCAAAGCATTCCGATTGTCCATCTGGTGAGGTAAGGACATTGATTGTTCAGTGATAGAATGGCCACGAATTTTTTTCAACAATTCACCATTGTTCTTCCCTTTGATCATTAACATTGTAGGCCTGCCGAGGTACTCCTTTGCAATGCAGAGAGTCAAAAAATATTGGGGAGATGTGTAATTGGGATGATAATGTTTGTGCCAGTGGACATTGTGTTGGTAACCTTTGCGCAGAGTGCGACGGTAGTAATAGCCACTGCAAGTCTTGGCAGTGGTGCGACGGAAACAAATGCAGATCGAAAGGCAATGATGGGTATTGGTGTTATGGTGAGAACGCCAGGTGCCACAGTAATTCCTGCAAATGGGAAAAGGATGGATTTTGGGATCCTGGTCATTACGGATGTCAAGGAAACTAGATCCCCGCCTTTCCTACTGTGTGAATCGCAGACTTGTCATATTCCCAGAGCTGCAGAACCGATGTATAAGGCTGCAAGAGAGCGAGATGTCAAGACTCATTTCCGCGTGAGTTCCCATAATTGCTCTTTAAGCACCAATGTATCATCTCTATTTCCGTTGTTTGAATTCAATATATCTAGTCACACGGTGATCTTTTGCGGTAGGGGTGACAAGTACAGTGGCTATGCATCATTCCTGACCATATAATAACCATCTTTTGCAGTTATGTCATTAAGAGCATCACCATAGCCTCGAATGAATCGCAATCAGGCTTTTTGCCATGCGCGGGGGGAGGGGGCACTGGTATAAATGCTATTTAGGAGCTCACCTAGAGTATTGTCGTCAATAGATATAACGATAGTAAAGATGTCTGAAAACGATAACAGAAATTATGAATGATGTGTGAATAATGATGGAAATCGATATGTCCGCATGGTTAAACGGTCCCCGTGAGACGATACATCTATGAATCGTATCACACCACTATTAACTATACTAAATGCGATAGCTCCAACAACGAAAGTGGAACATGCGCAGATCGACCCATCTTTGTCCACCGTGAATACGGCGTGGGAAGTCCCTGTAAGGACTCGGATCTAACCGTCAATAAATAATCCTTGTAAACATCTGACGCTTCTTCACAGCATTGTGAACCTTTGTAAACAAATCTGCATGATTGTCCTCAGTGTTTTCCTTCGATACCAGCATGATTCCAGCAGCAACAGCCTCGCGACAAGCATGGTAGTTGATCGAATTGTGCTTCTTGGTAAGAGTAGATGTTGGGTTAGTTGTATTGGCCACAACGCCAGCATTGTCACAATGGACGATTGCAGGTCCGCATCCTCTGCACCGTTAGGACCAATAATACGACAGTCCGCCGTAAGAGAAGTCTGAAACGCGACCAAAAAAGACATGCCACATCACCAATAATAAAATACTAGAAAAAGTTGAACCATATATTTTCCTTGCAACAACAACCACAACCGATATTCCATTTCCTGCTCGTTCCACTGCATCTCTTAGGAACTTGAGTATTCCGAAATGTGCATCATCGTAGTCACTTGATTGCTGTAGGAATAGTATGAATGAGAAACCCATTGATGCGACGACTACTGTGGACGACGATGATACTACTAGTACCGATAAGAACACGAAGAATGACCACCAATCATTATTATTCAAATGTCCACTCTGTGATGAAGCTCCTGTCATTAATGAGACATGCCCCGGTTCCTGTGGCAGTTTGGAAGGAATGATGGTCTATGATCCACAACAACAGCAACAACAACGCAAGAAGAGTAGTCGCACCTTTGGATTCGATTGGGCCAATGGCTATGTGGCCCCCTTTTTGGGCATTCATCGGTCCGCCGTGAAAGAAGCATTGGAGGCTGCTGACATTGCAGGCAACGATACCATGGTCGATTTGGGATGTGGGGATGGTCGAATTTGTCACCTGGCATGGGCCATGGGTGCTGCCCGAGCCGTGGGATACGATTTGGACGAGTCCTTGATTGCCATTGCCAAAAGTGAAAGGGAAGGAATACTGGATACTGAAACTAATGTTAGTCACTTGGACATGAGGAATACTTCCAAAGAAGAAAGAGAAGTGTCCAGAACGGCATCCTTTCATATTGCAAATCTATTTGAGGTGGACTTGGAACCATTTTCCATCATTACCATGTTTCTATTGCCGGAAACGACCGACAAGCTTGTTCCCACACTTTCTCAAGCACTTCGATCAAAGAAATTGAATGTAAGAATCATTGCCTTTGGATGGCCCATTCCAGGATTGGGCAATGCAGCGGCCAAGTACACCAACAAGACTGGGAGTCTTCTGGACAAGTGGTATCTATATACCAATACTACTCTACCAGGTACCAATCCTCCTAAATTTGTTCAGCGAGTTAATATCAAGGAGGAAGAAGCTGTCATGTAATGATAAGAATAACGCTATTCATTGCTAGTACTCTATAATTTATTACTTTTTTGTTTGGCTAGCTTAGCATTGCTTTTCTTTCTCCTATGGTCGAGTATAGACAAAAATGTTCTCGTCCACGTCTGAACGAGTACCAGGGATTCTGAGGTCTGAGATTTGATCGAATCGACTGAATGTCTGAGTGATCGAGTGAGTCAGTCGGATTCGGTGAGAAAACTCAACACGAATCCAACTCCAAATAAGTGATCAGATCAGAGGAAGTTGTCAGCGTAGAAGCTACGGCTATCACGCTACATCTCCAACATTCTATAACTAACAATCCAGCGGGATTGGTTGGAGTTGGTTCAGATCAGATCAGACGAATGTAGCACGACTAAAAGAAGTTTGAGTCTTCAAACTGCTCACAATATTTTAAAATCGATTTTCAAACGAATCTATATTCAACCCCAAATTGACAACGCCCCAAAACCTAGTTTGAGCCTTATCAACGTGGTTTTGTTACACGCTCCCTCTGCGATAAGGAACTAGCAGGTACGTTTATACTCTGCTGAATGGACAGGGGCTCACTCAGGAATCTACCTCAAAGAGACTACACAAGTATGGTCGAAACCGGACGCAATACAGAGGTTCGACGCATGGCGGAAGGACTTCTGACTTCATCCACGTGTTCTAACGTCAGGCAGACAGACGGAATGTCGGTTAGTACGCCAAATTGAACGTTGGTGAACGTTGGCGATAAACTGGGCATCATTGCCTGGGCGCATCGACAACAACTTTTGACGGTCGAAGGCCGTTCGGCCTTTGTCCGTCTGTAACACAATGTAGTCAAAGAAATCGAACAGTGTGCCTGCGGTCTACGTTGGATTACGTGCATGTTTTCGCACATTCAATTAATTTTCAGACAACAAGGTTTTACGTCTTTTCCGTTGTCATCACCCAACATCAAAACAGTTTATCAGTACCCACTGTCTATCGACTACCCAGAATGGTCATTACAAATGCCCAAAACACTGCTTTCTTCACCCATGATGATCAGATGGCAATCCCACCAGGAATTTTCGATCCCCATCTGAATCAGCAAGGCATCACAACAATAGATTCGCTCAAGGAGTTCAATGACGCCATGCTTGATGATATTCACAAGCACATCACAAGACATGGCCCTCCAAATAGTGTCTTCAGCGCCCTGTCTCTTTCACGCCTCAAGACTGCTGCCTCTGCTGTCCAATTTTACCTTGCTACTGGCAGAGCGCTCACTGCAGCATGCATGAGATGGACAAATACACTCATCATGTACCAAGAGAAGCGTGAAGCACTGAAAATTGCTCAAGAGCGGGAGGATCCAAAGGTACCATGTGTCAGCAAAGCTTTGCCCATCATGAAATGGCTTGCTGCCTTTAGATCTGTCATCCATGAGAGCTATGGTGTGAGAGGTTTTCCTCTTGGATATGTCTTGAGAGAAGACGCTGATGTGCCAGCTGAACCACCACTTGCTCCGGATCGACCATATTCTATTGAACATGGCTCGCTTGTTGCTGAATTCACTGCTAGAGCATCCCACACTCACCCTAGGTTTCACCAGGATAATGCTCGAGTATTTGCCAAACTGGAGGAAGCGCTACGAGGGACGACTTATGCTTCGTCTTTGACCCCATTTGAGCAGACAAGAGATGGAAGAGGTGCCTTCTTTGCCATTGTTGCTCAATACCTTGGTAAAGAGAAGTGGTCTAAAGAAATTGAAAAGAACACCGATTTCATTACTGTTCAAAAGTGGAAGGGAAACGGCACTTTTCCTTTGGAACGATTCATTGGAGGACACCGCAATGCCCACCAGGCTCTCCTTACTGCCTCTCAACATGTGGAATACCAGATTCCAAATGAGCACACAAGGATTGGATACCTCCTTCGAGCGCTCCACACAACTGATCCTGGGCTCCATGCGACTATTGCCAACATTGAGGGCAACGAAGATCCTAATGGACCAAGATATTCTTTTGAAGAATGTGCACGATTGCTCCAACTTGCCGACCCGGTTGCCAAGAAGAACAAGCGCAGTCACGCACAAATCTCAGATACTACTGTTACCATTGATGAATCAGCCAACCAAACCATTGAGATTGCGTCTCTGAGATCTGGAATTGGAACGACTGGCGTTCATCTTCGTTTCTACAAGAAAAAGGAGTTCGACAAGCTCCCTGCAGAGCAAAGAGCTGAGCTCAAAGCTTGGCGTTTGACACCTGAGGGGAAGGCTGCAATCGCAAGAGATAGAGCTGCAAAGGCTAAAGCTCATGGTGGAAACTCGTCTCCAAAGAAAGAAGGAAAAATATCGGCTGCTGCTTTTGAAAAGGAGCTGAAACAACGTGTCAAGCAATACACTGATGAGGAAGACAAGAAGAAAGGTCTCCATGATACTCTTGTCAGTGCACTCAAAACAGCCAATGCCTCTAGCCATGCGCCTGCTCCTTCTGCATCTGCTGATGTCAATGCTATTGTTCTTGCCAAGATTCTTGGGAAGAAACATTGACTGGTCCCGGCAGAGCCCAAAGTTATTTCTGCGATGCATTGGACTCTGGAGCCGGACCCACCCTGGAAGATGATGGATGACACAACCATTCCAGTGTCCCCATCATTCTTTGCCACGATTGCTGCTGCACTACGAATTGATGCTACCAATGTTGAGCACTCAATGGATTCTAGATCGGAACTTGACTCCCACGCCAATATGATTGTTGTTGGATCTAATTGTTTTGTTCTGAGTGACACTGGGCGGACTGCTTCTGTCAATCCCTACAATCCTGAATATGCTGCAAAGAGTATCCCAATCGTTGATGCTGCCCTACTCTACGAGGATCAAGTCACTGGGCAGGAATATATACTTGTGGTCCGAAATGCACTACATGTCCCTTCTATGACCCACAACCTGATTCTTCCATTTATTCTGCGAGAAAAAGGAATTCAAGTGAACGATACGCCAAAGATCCATTTGGCCGATCCCTCTTCTGATGATCATGCAATCAAGTTTGACGAGCATCTACGCATCCCAATGAAGCTGCATGGTACCTTCTCTTATTTTGTCACAAGAAAACCTACAGTTGAACAGTTAAATGATGCTGATCCTAATCACGTCTACATGATGACACCAGAGGAGTTTGATCCGCACAAGTCTTCCTATGCGCAGACTGAAGATCATCTTATCAATTATGATGGTGAAGTTGCCGATGCTCGGAACTGTTCCAAGCTTTTGATTTCAGATATTGAAGATGATCCCATGATGACTGTGTGTGCAATGTGGACTATGAGATTGGAAGAACAGACCCTTGTTGATGAGTCCGTTCTAGAGGAGGATGATGCTGATGAAGGCCTTTTGGGACAACCTTTCAATGTCGACCTTGCCTCTATCTCAAGTATTCTATGTGAGCGCACATTGAGTCACCGTCTCTCCACTCGCCGTGAAGTTTTGTCTATGATGACGTCATTGGGATCAACACACGCCCATGAAGATGACACTGATTTTCTGTTTGAGGACATGGACAGTGAACTGGACTTTGAAGAGATGTTGAGTGGAGATGATTTAT